AATGAAGTTATCGCCTCTGCCGCAGTCTGGTGACGTCAGTTCTCTGCCATGGTGGTATCTCTTGCAAATGGCGACAGTTTGTTTCCCTTTGCCGGGTGACCAATGCAACGGGTGGGTCCTTACTGTCTCTCCCAAGCCCCGTTTCAAACCTGTGGCCACTACCTATGAAGGCTCGGTAGGCATTTACCTCAGGAGGATCAGAAGGGCTGACCAGTTGTTTCAGCCGGATGGATTAGTGCTGAGTCACAGCTGTTTGTCTTCGGGAAGCAGGCGAACGGGAGCTTGAATTCAGCCGATCCGGGCTCCTAAACTTTTCTTTTTTCTTTTTTTGGTACTAACATTTACCACTGAGCTACATCCCCAGTCCTTTTTATTTGTTATTTTGAGATGAGATCTCACTAATTTGCTGAGACTAGCCTTGAAATTAGGAAACTCTTGCCTCAGTCTCCTGAGTTGCTAGGATCATAGGTGTGCACCATCGTGCTTGCTGAAAATACAAGCTGTTTTATATACCAAGATAGATTTAAAAAGACAAAGAATATGTGCAAATGGATCACATGGTGAAATATTACACTTGCAAATAATGTACATAACATTTAACAATGACAGAATTGAGACCATCCATACTGATAGTATGGCACAGTGGTGCAGGTCTATAATCCCAGCTCTTCTGGAGGCTGAGGCAGGAGGATCACAAGTTTGAGGCCAGGCTTGGGAACATAGCAAGACCCTGTCTCAAAATTAAAAAAGGGGTAGTGTTATAGCTCAGTGATAGAGCACCCCTGGGTTTAATCCCTACTGCTATTTTTTAAAAACAATGTTTACTCTTACTCTTTTTTAAATTCTAATTTGTTATACATGATAGCAGAATGCAATTCATTTTATATTACACATATAGAGCATAATTTTCAAGACACTAATTGTACACAGAATATTTTCACACCACTCGTGTCTTATACATGTACTTAGGATAATGATGTCTAACTCATTTCACCATCATTCCCATCCCCTTGCCCACTCCCTTCTCCTTCTTTCCCTTTGCCCCATCTAAAGTTCCTCCTTTCCTCCCATGTCCCCACCCACCCTGTCCAATCACCATTATGAGTCTAGAACCCCATATCGAAGAAAACATTCGGCCTTTGGTTTTTTGGGATTAGCTTGCTTCACTTAGCATTATATTCTCCAGCTTCATCCATTTGCCTGCAAATGCTATGATTTTATTCTCTTTTAATGCTGAATAATGTTCCATTGCGTATATATACACCAAAGTTTCCCTATCCATTCATCTACTGAAGGGCATCTAGATTGGCTCCACAGTTTAACTATTGTGAATTGTGCTGCTATAAACATTGATATGGCTGTGTCCCAGTAGTATGCTGTTTTTAAGTCCTTTGGGTATAAACCGAGGAATGGGATGATTGTTGGGTCAAATGGTGGTTCCATTCCAAGTTTTCCAAGGAATCTACTCTTACTCTTCTATTAAAAGTTGAAAAAAAAATTAACGTTGGCTACAGTGATTTCAAATATATATCATATATACTTTAATTTATGACTTCATAGTAAAATTTTTAAACAAGACCCTAACTGATAGCCTTTGGAAGATGCCAAGGAAACTATTTATTTTAAGGGCTGATAAATATCAGGAAAGAATAAAGAGTATCGAGCACTACCCTGCCTTCTTTTTGTGAACTATCCTTCAGGGTAAATAAATATTTGAAGAAGAAACTTTTGAAGTATTTTGGTTAATAAATGATGAAGGAATTATAGAATTAGAATATTATCATTTTTTAGCCCCCTAGTGAATCAGTATTAACTATAAAATCTGCTAATGACACAAAAGGACAACCAGACCTTAGCTGCCTTTTGATGGCACCTATAACTCCACTCATGAAGCATTCTTTCCATTCCTTCCCCTCCAAAAAAAAAAGGTCAGATCTGCTAAGTCACCAAGACTGGTCTTGAACTTGCCATCCTCTCTCAGCCTTCTGTGTAACTGGGATTACAGGTGCCACCACACCCATCACTGAGTTGTTTTGTTTACAACACCTATTCTCTTTGTTTTTTACACAGTTCTTATTAAATTAATCACAAAGAAGTTCTATCTATGAGGACTTTTTTTTTTTTTTTTGGTCTTTTCAAGCTCCTGAATAAACAGTRCATTGAAGTCTTAGATTTTAAAATGAAAAACACACCTCAAAGCCATTACCATGTGTTTAGTTCCTTTGTGTTCTTTGGCTGACACATGAGTAACAGTATTTTTTTTTTTTTATCTAGGCATCAGAGATAAAGTGTCCGATTGGGATACATTTCTGCAGCAGACCTTGATAGGAGCTTGTAGTCCTCCTGTTCCGCTGCTAGAGGGCGTAAGTATTACTACATGCCAAACCAGCATGGAAAAAACGTTTGCAAAGAAATAAATTGGTTGCTAATATGCTGCTCTGAAGGAGAAAATCATTATTACTAAAGACATAGGCGTAAGTATTGAAAAATTTAAACATCCTAAGAAACTGAAAACTGGTGGCTGTCTTAGTGCCCTAAAATATTGATTCTGGATTCGTTGCTAAGACATACAAAACCAGTTTTCTAGATTCTTATACACAGTTGGAAAATGAGGTCTTTTAAACTCTTAACTATGGAACTGAACAGGTGTTGATTCTGCTTCAGAGGGTACATTTGTAACTCTTACACCAGATAACTTGAGACCCTTTTTCTTTTTTCTCAGAATACATTGGACCTTTCTTACTCCTACCTGCTTTCAGCAGTCCTTTTAAGTTAGTGTAGCTTTTAAGGGCTGGGGTTATGGCTCGTAGAGTGCTTGCCTAATATGTTTGAGGTACCGGGTTTGATCCTTAGCACCCACATAAAAAATAAAATAAAGATATTGGGTTCACATACAACTAAAAAATAAATATTTTTTAAAAAGTTAGTGTACCTTTTGAACTTGTTAGTGAATATAGATTTCTTGATTACATAATTAATTTATTGTTTATTAAATTTCTAAATCATATGTTGTCACTTTCTAGTATACCTGTAGCATTCTGTATGGCACATGTGAACTGTGATGTATAAAGATTTTTTTGTTTCTTTATCTTCTTGTCAATACATGTTATCTTTTGGTTATAGCTATTCTAGTGAGTATGGTATCTCATTTTTATTTGCCTTTCCCTAAGGGGCTAATGAGGTCAAGCATATTGRCCACTCATGTTTCATTATTGGAGCAGTGTCTTTGCCCATTTTATAACTGGGTTATATTTTTATTATTGAATTATAAGAGTTTCTTATACATTCTAGATATAAATACAGATCAGAGTTTTAAATTTTTTAATTTGTTTTAATTAGTTATACATGACAGTAGAATGCACTTATGAGATATAATTTCTCATTTTTCTGAGTGTACATGTTGTAGAATCACATTGGTCATGCAGTCACATATGTACATAAAGTAATAATGTCTGTTCTGTTCTACTATCCTTCCTATCCCCACATGTCCTCCCCTCCCCTCCCCTCCCCTCCCTTCCCTTCCCTTCCGTCTACCTAATCTAAATTAACTCTATTCTTCTCTAGTTCCCCACCCCTTAATGTGAATTAGCATCCACATATTAGAGAAAACATTCGAACTTTGGTTTTTTGGGATTGGTTTATTTTGCTTAGCATGATAAGTCTCCAACTCTATCCATTTGCTGGCTAATGCCATAATTTCATTCTTCTTTAAAGCTGATTATTATTCCATTGGGAAAAAAAATATATATATATACCACGTTTTATCCATTCATCTATTGAAGAACACCTAGGTTGATTCCATCGTTTAGCTATTGTGAATTGAGCTGCTATGAACACTGACATGGCTGCATTACTGTCGTATGCAGATTTTATTAAGTCCTTTGAGTATAAATCAAGGAATGGGATAGCTAGGTCAAATGGTGGTTCCATCCCCAGTTTTCTGAGGAATCTCCATACTGCTTTCCATAGTGGTTGTACCAATTTGCAGTTCCACCAGCAATGTATGAGTGTACCTTTTTCCCTACATCCCTCATCAACATTTATTGTTGCCTGTATTCTTGATGATTGCCATTCTGACTGGAGTGAGATGAAATCTTAGAGTAGTTCTAGCCAGAGCAATTAAACAAAAGAAAGAAATTAAAGGGATACAATTAGATAAAGTAGAACTCGAACTATCACTATTTGCTGAAGAAATCTTAATTGTCAAAGATGTTGAACACTTTTTAATATATTTGTTGATTGATTATATTTCTTCTTCTGTGAAGTGTCTGTTCAGTTCCTTAGCCCATTTATTGATTGAGAGTTATTTGTTTTTTTGGTGTTAATTTTTTGAGTTCTTTATATATCCTAGAGATTAATACTTTATTGGAGGTGCATGTGGTAAAGATTTTCTCCCTATCTGTAGACTCTTTTCTCACATTACTGATTGTTTCCTTTGCTGAGAAGAAGCTTTTTAATTTGAATCCATCCCATTTATTGATCCTTGATTTTACTTCTTGTGCTTTAGGAGTCTTCTTAGGGAAGTCAGATCCTAGGCCAACATGGTAAAGATTTGGGCCTACTTTTTCTTCTACTAGGTGCAGGGTCTCTGTTCTAGTGCCTAAATCTTTGATCCACGTTGAGTTGATTTTTGTGCAGGGAGAGATAGAAGTTCAATTTCATTTTACTACATATCAATTTCCAGTTTTGCCAGCACCATTTGTTGAAGAGGCTATCTTTTCTCCGGTGAATGCTTTTTTGGCACCTTTGTCTAATATGCGATAACTGTATTTATGTGGGTTTGTCGCTGTGTCCTCTATTCTGTTCCATTGGTCTACAAGTCTATTTTGGTGCCAATTCCATGCCATTTTGTTACTATAGCTCTGTAGTATAGTTTTTTTTAAAAATTTTTTAAAAAATCGAACCCAGGGCCTTGCACATGCTGGACAAGTGGTCTACTGCTGAGCCACAACCTTAGCCCCTGTAATATGGTTCGAGATCTGGTATTGTGATTCCTCCTGCTTCACTTTTCTTGTTAAGGATTACTTTGGCTATTCTCGGACTCTTATTTTTCCAAATAAATTTCATGATTCTCTTTTCTATTTCTATGAAGAATGTCATTAGGATTTTAATAGGAATTGCATTAAGTTTGTATAACAATTTTTGGTAATATGGCCATTTTGACAATATTAATTCTGCCTATCCAGATTACATGGGAGATCTTTCCATCTTCTGAGGTTTTCTTTAATTTCTTTCTTTAGTGTTCTGGAGTTTTCATTGTAGAGGTCTTTCACCTCTTTTGTTAGATTGATTTCCAGGGATTTGATTTCATTTGAGGCTATCGTGAATGGGGTAGTTTCTCTAATTTCTCTTTCAGTGGATTCACAGATGTAGAAGAATGCATTTGATTTATGAATGTTGATTTTATATCCTGCTACTTTACTGAATTCACTTATTAGTTCTAGACATTTTCTGGTAGAATTTTTTGGATCTTCTAGATATAGAGGCATGTCATCAGGAAATAATGATAGTTTGAGTTCAATCAAATAGGTAATTTGTATTTCTTTAATTAATTTCTTCTGTCTAATTSCTCTGGCTAGAGTTTCAAAGATGATGTTGAATAGAAGTAGTGAAAGAGGAATTGTCCTTGTCTTGTTCCAGTTTTTATAGGGAATGCTTTCAATTTTTCTCCATTTAGAATGATGCTGGCCTTGGGTTTAGCATAGGTAGCTTTTATAATGTTGAGCTATGTTCCTACTGTCTCTAGTTTTTCTAGTGTTTTGAACATGAAGGTGTACTGTATTTTGTCAAATGCTTTTTTCTACATCTGTGGAGATGATCATATGATTCTTGTTTTTAAGTCTATTAAATTASACTTATTGATTTCCATATGTTGAACCAACCCTGCATCCTGGGATGAACCCCACTTGATCTTTATAATATATTTTTGTATGCAGTTTGGCTGAATTTTATTATGAATTTTTACATCTGTATTCATCAGGGATATTGGTCTGAAGTTTTCTTTCCTTGGTATGTCTATGTCTGGTTTTGGTATCAGGGTGATATTACCCTCAAAGAATGAGTTTGAAAGGATTCTCTCCTTTTCTATTTCATGGAATACTTTGAAGAGTATTGGTATTAATTCTTCGAAAGTTTTACAGAGCTCGGCTGAGAATCTGTCTGGTCCTGAGCTTTTCTTGGTTGGTAGGCTTTTTTTTTTTTAATGATGCGTGGTCAGTTTATTCTTTTTTTTTTTTTTTTTAAAGAGAGAGAGAGAGAATTTTTTTTTAATATTTATTTTTTGCTTTTCGGTGGACACAACATCTTTGTTTGTATGTGGTGCTGAGGATCGAACCCGGGCCGCACACATGCCAGGTGAGCCCGCTACCGCTTGAGCCACATCCCCAGCCCAGTTTATTCTTTATTATTAAATAAAGCAAAAGAAAGGAACAAAGTCACCTCCCTGTTATCACCAGAGTAGAAATCAGTCTTAACATGCATTCCTGTATTTCAATATAAGCAACCAGAGGTCTAGCAAGACGTCTTCTAACCCTTCCGGCCAGCGCAGGTTTTCATTGGAGTTTAAGAAAGGTAATCCCGTTTTCCTTACAAATTTCCAAAGTACCCCAACCTCAGGAACAGGAAGCCCTATCCCAAACWTGATGTTCTGCACAAAAAATCCTGGCAGGCAGTGCCTTTGAGGCCCAAGCTTTCCCAGGTGTTCCCTAGGCCCTTGCCACAAGTGCTGCTGTCCACACACCATCTGATGGCGGTTCCTGGTCTAAGTGTCACCCTGGGGGTGATGTCAACACATTGTCACCCCACTGGCCACCAAGGCACCATCTAAAGGACTGCTTCTTTTCTTGCCTCCTATAGCTACAGTTGGTGGGGTCACACTCTGGTAGGGACTGGTACCCTTATCTCTCCTGGAGGTGAAGGATGCCCAGCTTGGGGTGTCCATCCAAGCTGTGCAGTGCAGATGTGTTCACCTGCATTCTGAACCAATCTGCTGAACCAATCAGAAGGCTGACAGGCCTTCTGCCAACACTATCCCAGGGTCCGATTCATTTCAGGGAGACAGATGGAGAGGAGCAAGCACTTCCAGAGCTCAGCAGATGAGGGTTATTAAAGGTCAGCAGGTTCGCAGGTGACAGCCAGCCCTCAGGTCGCGCTGAAGGGCTCATAAGGGTTAAGATGCATCTCTAGATAGTTAAGGTAGCATAACTCTACACAAAAAAGTTTTGTCCTTGCCCGCACTGGAGGACACCCGGTCCTGTTGGTAGGCTTTTGATGGCGTTTTTTATTTCATTACTTGTAATAGAGCTATTTAAATTGTGTGTGACCTCCTCCTTCAGTTTTAGTAGGTCTCTAGAAATTTGTTGATGTCTTTGATATTTTCTATTTTACTGGAGTATAAATTTTCAAAATAGTTTCTAATTATCTTCTCTGCTTCAGACATGTCCGTTGTGATATTTCCTTCTTCATTTTGTAATTTAGTCATTTGAGTTTTCTCTTTTTCTCTTTGTCAGCATGGCCAGAGGTTATCTATTTTATTTATTTTTTTCAAAGAATCAACTTTTTTCTAAAGCCGTGAGCCCCTAAATAAACCTTTCTTCCTCTTAAAAAAAAAAAAAAAAAAAAAAAAAGAATCAACTTTTTGTTTTGTGAATTTTTTAATTGTTTCTTTTGTTTTGATTTTATTGACTTTAGCTCTGATTTTAATTATTTCCTGTCTTCTGCTTTTGGTGTTGATTTATTCTTCTTTTTCTAGGGCTTTGAGATGTAGTTTTAGGTCATTTATTTGTTGACTGTTTATTCTTTTAATGAATGTACTCAGTGCAGTAAACTTTTCTCTTAGTACTGCCTTCATACTATACCAGAGATTTTGATATGTTGTATCAGTGTTCTCATTTACCTCTAAGAATTTTTTTAATTTCATGCTTGATTTCTTCTACTATCCATTCATCATTCAATAGTGTATTATTTAGTTTCCATTCGTTCTTTTAATTTAATTTCTAATTTCATTCCATTGTGATCTGATAGAATGCAGGGTTTTGTCTCCGGTTTTTTTGTATTTACTAAGAGTTGCTTTGTGGCATAAGATATGGTCTATTTTAGAGAAAGAGCCATGTGCTGCCGAGAAGAAAATATATTCACTTGTTGATAGATGAAATATTCTATATATGTCTGTTAAGTATAAATTATTCATTGCATTATTTAGTTCTGTAGTTTATTTAGTTTTGTTTGGAAGATCTGTCCAGTAGTGAGAGAGGTTTGTTAAAGTCACCCAGTATTATTGTGTTGTGGTCTATTTGATTCTTGCAATTGGGAAGGATTTGTTTGATGTATATAGATGTTGCATTGTTTGGGACATAAATATTTATAATTGTCATGTCCTGCTGACATATACTTCCCTTAAGAAGTATGATATATCCTTTTTTGTCTCTTCTGATTAATTTTGGTTTGAAGTCTAGTTTATCTGAGATGAGGATGGAAGCCCCTGCTTGTTGATGCAGTCCATATGAGTGATATGTTTTTTTCCATTCCTTTTACCTTCAGCCTGTGAATGTCTTTGCCCATGAGGTGAGTCTCTTGAAGACAGCATAATGTTGGGTCTTGCTTTTTAATCTAATCTGCCAGTCTATGTCTTTTGATTGATGAATTTAGGCTGTTAACATTCAAGGTTATTATTGAAATATAATTTGTATTCCCTATCATTTTGACTTGTTTATGGTTTTTAATTTGATTTAGTTCTCCTTTGGTTGAATATTTTTTTAGTGTAAATCTTCCCTTTCCTGGTTTTTACTTCATCCTCATGGAATATTTTGTTGAGAATCTTCTGTAGTGTAGGCTTTCTACTTGTGAATTCTTTTAATTTTTGTTTATCATGGAAGGTTTTAATTTCATCTTCAAATCTGAAACTTAATTTTGCTGGATATAAAATTCTTGGTTGGCATCCATTTTCTTTCAGAGCTTGAAATATATTATTCCAGGACCTCCTAACTTTGAGAGTCTGCATTGAGATATCCGTTGAGATTTGAATTGGTTTCCCCCTATATGTAATTTGATTTTTTTTTCTCTCATGGCCKTTAAGATTTTCTCTTTATTTTCTTATTATTCATTCTCATTATAATGTGTATTGGTGTGGGTCTGCTGTAATTTTGTACATTTGGGGCCCTGTATGCCGCTTGTGTTTGATTTTCCATTCTATTCTTTAGGTTTGGGAAATTTTCTGCTATTATATCATTGAAAAAAATTGTGTTGTCAAGAAGACAGTATTATATTTTCTTATACATGTTTTATAGTTATAGTTTTAGCTCTTAAATCTAATTCTGTGATCTATTCACATGCCCTTTTAAATCTTGTCTGATAAACACTATTTCAAGCTATTCTTTTTTTTTTTAAACAACAGTGTACCATTATTACCATTTTTAACATTTATTTTATTCTTTTTTTAAGAGAGAGTGAGAGAGAGAAAGAGAGGGAGGGAGAGAGAATTTTTAATATTTATTTTTTAGTTTATGGCGGACACAACATCTTTGTTTGTATGTGGTGCTGAGGATCGAACCCGGGCCGCATGCATGCCAGGCGAGCGCGCTACTGCTTGAGCCACATCCCCAGCCCTCAAGCTATTCTTTATTTTTTGTGCTCTGACTCATTTCATCATGCTTAGTCAGGGTCTGATATATACCAAATACTCAGTAAAATTTGAATGAATGAATGAAATCAGGAACAAATGAATTGATAAAATATTCTGCTCTTCTCTTTCTTTCTTTTTTTTTTTTTTTGTGGGGGGATGTACCAGGGATTGAACTCAGGGGCACTTGACCACTGAACCACATTCCCAGCCCTATTTTGTATTTTATTTAGAGACAGGGTCTCACTGAGTTGCTAAGTGCCTTGCCATTGCTGAGGCTGGCTTTGAACTCCTGATCCTCCTGCTTCAGCCTCCTGACCTGCTGGGACTACAAGCATGTGCCACCATGCCCAGTTAAAATATTCTGCTCTTTATTGATCACGGTTCTTCTGTATGGAAATATTTAACTATGAATGTGTTCCCTAATGCATTCATAAGTTCTTTTCTATACCTGGATATGGCAGTTTCACTGAGCAGTTCTTACTCAGAAAAAGGCGTTAGGTTGAGTATTAAGAGATGATTAGGTGATGACTTTGGAATGAGTATTTTTGCAGTGCTAAGGGTTGAACCTAGGTCCTCATGTATGCTAAGCATATGCTCTCCCACATTCCCAGTTCCTTCTCTTCTTTCTTCCTTTCTTCCTTCCTTTTTCCTTTTAAAAAAAAATTTTTTGGTACTGGGGATTGAACCCAGATCTTGAGCATATTAGGCAAATGCTCTACCACTGAGCTACATCCCCAGCACTTCCTTTTTTATTCTTTATTATTGTTTTTAATATATATCTAGATAGAATTGAATTTTCACTTTCCTTCGTGTAGTCAAAAGTTCTTACTGTGTTCATTAAAACATTCTGAAAGGAGTAAAAATCAGAAACAAGCAAAATGCCATCAGAAGGAAAGTGGATAAACTATTGCCCACTATAATAAGAAATATCATAAAACAGTTTAAAAGATGAGGAAGACTTACATTTGATATAATAAAAAGATATTTTGATGTGTTACGTGAAGAACAAATTAAAAAACAGTATAAGGTGTTCCCATTTTGAAAAAAATAGGAGAGAAAGAGGTAGATAATGAATTCTATGAAGACAAAGAGTATATGACAAATACTTACCCTGGTTCTTTCTTAGAAGTGAAATTATAGGAGACTTTGACCTGTTGGATTTTTTTTCTTTAATGATAATCAGTTTTGCATTTATAATTAGACAATAATTACATTTAAAAAATTCTTAGTAAATGAGCTAAATAATATTCTAGAGAAATTTGTTAGAATAATTTTATTGTAGGTATTCTTTAAAAGATTTCCATATCATCTAAAAGTAATACTATAAGAGGCTTGCATGATAGCAGACAATTTGATGTAACTGGCTTTTGAATGAATAAAAATATGAAGGATGGTTTGGGATTATTTAGAACTTTTAAAAAATACCATGTTAACTTTTCTTATTTAACCATTTTACTTTTTTAACTTACAGCTCCGTAATGGACGGAATCCCTTAGATCTCGTTGCTCCAGGATCCAGGCTAGAATGCCAAGCTTTTCGGGACACTTTAAGCACTTGGATTGTTACTGTAGTAGAAAACATTGGGGGACGGCTGAAGCTGTGTTATGAAGGACTTGAAAGTCCCAACAATTTTGAACATTGGTTGTATTACTTGGATCCATTTCTTCATCATGTTGGTTGGGCTGCTCAACAAGGATATGAGCTTCAGCCCCCATTAGGTGAAAAATAATATAGAATTTTTCTATCAACTATTACATTATTGTTATATCATATTAGTATTAATATCTATGTGACTGAAAAAATGTGTTCTACATATTTTGAAAGCTTTTATTCACATAGAAGAGATTAACACAAATATATGTGGTGTTATGAATTGCCTGCTTTTCTTTTACTTTTCTTGCACTTATAATATACCTCACACATATTGATATGCCTCAGAAACTCTTACCTAACCTATTCTGACCATTTATCAGATTAAAGAAAAAAATTCTCTAGGTAGCATTCAGATAGGTGTATACAGTAAATTGAGTTCTTAGCAACTTGTTTTAAAGGAAATTACAATAATAAATTGTTATTTATATAAATATGCACTTATTATGTGCCCTTGTTTGGGTGTGTATTATATTATTTTATAGTTTACAACAGTAAACTTAGGTATTTTCATAGGTATTTTCACAAAGCCTAGTACTGAGGTTAAGGTGCAAGTGCTTTTGAGTGAAGATGGGTGTAAACCAATGGGACAATTTCCAGTGGAAAGTTTTTGTTGTTGTTTAATGTGAATGCTTTCAGAATAGTTAAAAAGTGTATAGGTTTTCTAAAGCATTTTGTCTTGTCTTAATGAAGCCATCAAACATCTGAAAAATGAAACTGAGTGGCAAGAGATTTTGGCTAAAGTGAAAGAGGAAGAGGAAGAGCCATTACCATCTTACTTATTTAAGGTAAAACAAAAACATGTGATAAATAGGTATTCATCTCCTTACAATAGAGTAAAGCAAAGCAGTTTGGGGAAGAGAGAAGTGAAAAATAACCCCTTGAGGTAGGAGTGCTATAGCCTTCTGTCTGGGGGAGGAGGGGTTAAGGTTGGAGGAAGGATCACCCTTATTTTCTTCCAACATTTGTCTGTGTGTTCTCCCCATATCATATTTTCTACTCCTAAATACATAGTCCTACTTTACTATAAAATGTTTTTGGTTTTTCTTCAAGATGTTTCTTATGTTTCAAATGTAGTGAATAGGAGTACTTTCTCTGTTGTTTGATCCTGAACAGTTTTTTTCCAGGGGAAAAAAAATCAGTTCCATTATTTGAATTAATTAGAACAATATTCAGTTACATATGAACATAAAACTAATATAAAAACACTGTATTTTTATTCCCTTTTGGTGTTTGCATTTCAGGATAAACAAGTTATTGGCATTCATACATTCTCTGTAAATATGAAATTGGAAGCTGTGGACCCCTGGTCTCCTTTTGGGATCTCTCCTGCTACAGTCATTAAGGTAAAGTGGGAGCAATTCTCCTTGGTAAGAATCTCCATCAGGGTGACTGTTGTAGGAAATCGCAGGGTTCTAATCTTTATACTCTACTAATCCAACTCATAGTTATGTGGTCAGAATTACTTCTGTGCACATTTCGTATTATATTTCCAGTTTTCTGTGATCTCTCACTTCTTTAGAGCTTGGTAGCCCTAACCAGCCAATGCAGACTAGGGCCTGGGCAGCTAAATGGTGACCCCTCACCCATTCTTTGGAGTAATCCTAGTAGGCATTAGTGTCTATAAAGTATGGAGGCAGGTAGTATCATCAGCAAGCATTCAACCAGATGCAGGGCTTCTTACAATGAGGAGGTGTGTGGGGGCAATTAGCATCACAAGATCTAGCAGTGGGATGGCTATGACCATTATTCCAAATTCAGACTTTAATTGTTCTGAAATCTGACAAAAGAAAGGCCCTTACCAGGAGCATCCTCAAGAGGTAAGCATTTTTTCAAGGCTCAGTTACTTGTTTACTACATAAAGGAGGGGTTTCAGTTTAAGACTAGAGCAGAAGTTCATTTACTGAAAGTATAACCTATGTTGAAGCATAACTAGACAATAATTGCTTGAATGATAAGTCATCTGACCCATATAGATATGTAAATTTCCTTGTCTTGCCAGAAGATTATCCTCAGAGCAAGGAGGGATTCTGAATCTGTAAGTAAGGTCCTAAGACCCTATTTGGAATCTTTCAGAAATATGGGCTAGTTAAGAGCAAGAAGAAGTTCATTATTTTCTCTTCTTTGGCATTTGAAACTGGATTAGGATCTAAAAACTTAAATTGTTTTAGTAAGCTTTTGTATCACTGTAACAAAAATACTAACAATAACTTAGAAGAAATGTTTATTTGGGATTCATGGCTCAGTCCATAGACGGCCAACTCCATTGCTCTGGGCCCAAGACGAGGCAGCGCATCCTAGTAAAATGGGCTGGTGGAGGAAAGCTACTCACTTCATGACACAGTCTGGAAGCAGAGAGATGTGGGGGGAACCTGCCACAGGAGAATGACCCTTTTAGGGCACACCCCAGTGACCCACCTCCTTCAGTTATACCCCACTTGCCTACAGTTACCACTCATTCAGTTCATTCACACTAGGACCGACTAATTAGGTTATAGCTCTCATAACATATGATCATTTTACCTCTGAATATTCCTGCATTAACAGCAGCTTTGGAGGGGTACATTCACATAATACTAGTGTGGTTGATCCCCTGTAAACTAAATTTTGACCAACCACTTGGTTTGAATCCAGATTCTCATTTTCTTGGCTTTGTGTACCCTAGGGCAAGTTATTTAACATTTCTTTAAACTCTTTTCCCTTAATTTGCAAGGTGGAGTTGATAATGTACCTAGATTGTTAGGAAGATTAAAGTTGGATTAATATATGAAAAGCATATAATTAAAATATTACCTGATATTGAGTTAACATTTATCAATTGTTTAGCATTATTAATACCCAATGGGACTATGAACTCTTGTGACTTGTTTGACTATGCCAAGGAAAAACACATATATGTATATGTGTGTATATACATTTATACACACACACACACACATTGTGTGTTTTATTTATTGTGTGTACAGGTTTTTGATGAGAAGTACTTTCTGGTGGAAATGGATGACTTGCGACCTGGGGACCATGCACGGCGATCATTTGTGTGCCATGTCAACAGTCCTGGCATCTTCCCTGTGCAGTGGAGTCTGAAGAATGGTCTACACATCAGCCCACCTCCAGGTGCACATTTGTACTCTTCTGTGTTGTTTCTTGAGATGAGATATGTTAGGTGGAATTGCTAGAATCTTTTGTCCTTCTCCTGGTGTTCTTAATATTTGGGGGGCCTCAGACAAGTGTAAATGAAGGTCTAGATTCCATATATTTACATTTTAAAAGTTATAAAGCTAAGAATCTCTTAAGTGTGTTCTTTTCTTGTATTTGATGCATATATCTGCATAATCAGAAGGTCTGGTTCAAGTTTAGATTCTGTGCTGACTCCTTAGTCCATTCCATCTTGTGTCATGTTAGGAGTTCACAGAAGGGTGGGTTTGGATGCATGCTGAACTTTGAGAGTGGCTTGTGAGAAGAGGCTTTAACAGCTAGAACTATAATGTAGGTTATTAATTTTTAGGTATCTGGGCCTTGTGGGAAGTTATGGTCAAGAGTAGGACTCAGAGGCTTTATTATTTTATTTTCCTAGTGTTTTCAACTTTCAAAATATAATCTCTGACCTTTTAATCAAGGCATTTAATTTTGATTTAGTTGAGCTTGTCTGAAGTTTTTGATATTTTTAAACCTGGAGTATCTGGAAAATGTCAGATGAGTATCTGATCTTTTATATCAGTGAATCTGATTATTTGAGCAGTGGTCTATGTGTACTTCATTAGTAAGCTTTTGGTAAGCATGGCTTCACTTTCTAAATGTTGATTGCTGAAACACTGAGCTATAGAAGTACTCTTTTGTGTTAACAAGCTGTAAACTCAAACCTTTTGCTTTCCATTCAGCTAGTAAACATTTATGGAATGTTTGCTATGAACCAAATATTGAACTTATCACTGGGGAGACAAAAATGAGCACAACACAGACTCTTCAAGGAGAAATACCCAGATTCTCCTCCATCAGTGGAGCAAACTGTAGGAGTGTCTGGTAGGAGGGTGTTGTATGGAACACCTACAGAAGAATGTTCTTGCTTTGTAGGAATGCTTGGGCTTGCACCTTCATGTGAAAAGGAAAAAAAAAAAACAATTATTAAAGATACTGGAGCTTTCAGCACTGTTGTAGACAAGCCAACTATCTTGTAAATAAAGTAGATTAAACAAATGAAAATGTACTCTTGAGAAACATGGTAGGGACACAGGGAGAGTGTGGTACCTTTCTCAGTTATATGGAAAAGATAATTAAAGGGCTGAAGGAGGGCATAGTCTTGAGTAGCCTCCTCTGTGCCTTTGTGGTATTAAGCTCTGTGACGGCAGAGAGAAGTTTAGTGAAGCAGTCAGGCCTTATCAGCTTTTTGTACACAGATGGTGCTGATTCAAGTCATTCGATTGGAGATACTCTGAAGAATATTGGTAGAATAAAGTAGGGAATTAAGCTCAACTTTTTTTCTGAAATGAATTAATAATTCAGATTATAAGAGCATTGATATTTTAAGGTGTTCTTTTCTTATTGTCATGTAGCAATTATATGTATATGGGATACAGTGTAGCATTTTAATATATACAAATAGTGTACAATGATCAGATGAGGATAATTGGCATGTCTATCTCATTTCAGAGTGTGTGTGTGTGTGTGTGTGTATGTATGTGTTGGGAACATTAAAAATCTACTAGCTGTTTAGAATATTCAATTCTCATTAATCCTAGTTACCCTTCCAGAAGTTATTTCTCTTATCAGCTGTATCCCATGTCCATTAACCATCTTCTCTCCATCTCTGAGAGCTTTGAGATTCTGAAATTCTATTGTACCTGAATCTGAAAACAGTGCTAAGAACGTTGTATTATTATTAGCTAAGATATGTTTAAAGAAATAGCTTTATCAAAAAAAAATCTTCACTTATTAAATAGTACTGTTTGTTATCTCTTTTCCTTCAGAGCTTACCTCCTAATAAAATTGATAATAATACTAGATTTATATGTGTAAATCAAGTCCGGTCATAATTGTGTTAGATTCTTTGGTAAATTGCTGTCAACTAATATATAAAATACAGCTTAATTTCAAATATCATTAAAAGTGATTGCTTTTAAGATATAGAGAAATATCCTAAAGATGTAGCAAATAAAATGATTTTAGTAAAAAATATTGTTAAAAATAAATGCCCAGGACCCAGGTTGTGGCTTAGTGGTAGAGCATTTGCCTAGCATGTGTAAGGCACTGGGTTTGATCCCCAGTACCACATTTAAAAAAAAAAAAAAAAGGTTAAAAAATAAATAAATGCCCAATTTGAAATTTAAAATTCCAAATTCCAAAGAATTCCACTGTATAGTTTGGACAGAGTTGTTTTATTTTATAAAATTAACTATGTAGGCCCTAAGTTTGATATCTAGCATTGAAAAATTAATTGTGGTTTGGATTTATGAAGTGTTTTTTATGCTCTCTAAGATGATCAAAAATCCTTAGATTAGCAACCTTGGAAGTTTATGGATGGACACATGGCCAAGGGGTAAAGCTAGGCAAGCACATGTGATGTGAATCATTGCTCTTTGTCTCCATGTAGGCTACCCAAGCCAGGACTTCGACTGGGCCGACTACCTCAAACAGTGTGGTGCTGAAGCTGCTCCCCAGAGGTGCTTTCCTCCGGTGAGACCACTTGACCACTGCTTCAAGGCTGCAGGGGCTGCTGTGTTTCCCTTGCTTTTTATGACTGTTACTCTCAAACTATTATCTCACTCAATCCCCTAGCCACCTTGTTGATTATAGTCAAAGACAAATATGTTTACTGGAGAAGTTAATAAATGTACTAATTACATTAGTTTTATAAGTTTGTCAGCTTTATGTTTTCTTAGTAGCTGAAATGTGAATTTGACATTTTATAATTTGATGGTTCAATAATATGAAAAAAATGTTGAAATACACATGTAGAAAAATTGTTAAGCTTATTTAAAAATACTTCTTTTCAAATAATACACACACATGTTTAAAAAACCAAAGAGCAGTAGAAAGCTTAGAACATAGAATAATAGTCCCTTTCCTATCCCTTTCCACATCCTCCCTTCTCAGAAGTGATTGCTTCCTGTTCTTCACAATATAATTCTGGTATTAAGACTTTTTCATTTTCAAAACATTATGTGCCATGTTTTAGGCATTGATTTTTAGACACATTTATTGACTCTATATTATAGTAAATGAGCATTTAGCCATTTTATATTACCTTTAGGTATATCCTGAGGAGTGGAATAACTGGGCCAAATGGGGGTTCCATTCTGAGTTTTCTGAGGAATCTCCATATGGTTTTCAGAGTGGTTGCACCAATTTGTAGTCCCATCAGCAATGTATGAGTGTACCTTTTTCTCCACATCCTTGCCAGCATTTATTGTTACTTGTATTCTTGATGATTGGCATTCTGGAGTGAGATGGAATCTCAGTGTAGTTTTAATCTGCATTTCTCAAGTATACCATTCTTGTTTTAAGGATGCAGTAGTTTTTCTTCTCTCAGAGGATGTTAACCCCCCTCCACTTGATGGCAAGTTGACGCTAATCTCTGCTTTCTCTAAGTTGCTTGTTTTGTCTGTTTTGATTTCTAACTTTCATGTTCTTATATATCCGGTAATTCTTAAATGCTTATAGTTAAGAATGGAAGAATAAAAGAAAAAGCTGATTGTGTTGGTGGAAATTGTCAACCTTGAAGTTTCCTTCAGGATGTGATCTGGCTGACCATTTGTTGGGGAAACCCAGATCCTTACCTTTGTGTCTTCTTGGGCTTCTCATATTATTCATAAGAAGTCTTTTTCAATCCCCTGCCTGATTAGTATAGGCTAGACTGGGCCAGTTAACCTCCAGTTACCCAGTACCTGGTTCTATCAGTTCTTAGTTTTCTTTGTTGCCAATTTAGATTCACCTTTCACTGATACACTATAACACAATTCAGTGGTACACCCTGTGCATTCATTACCCATTCAGTACCCACTACATACTTGCCCTTAATAATTTCTTGTATCCTGCCCACGGATCTATGTTTTCCATGTCCAGAGGCTAAATCCAACTTTTATATGGAGGGAAAGAGACAGTTGCCCTGGGGGTTGGATAGGGTAGAGTAGAAGAGCTCCAGGTGTTATCAGCAAATCCTTCTTGTTTTGACTATTTCTTTTCCACCTGCAGTTGCCTAGTACCTGTTTTGTTCTAGTTCTTAGCTTTTTTTTTTTTTAATGGACAACTTAGATTTGTCTTTCATATATGTTTAGATAATAGACCCTGTTCTAAATTTTAGTTTATAAAATGTTTCAACAATCAAAAAGATAATATGCCATGATCAAATGGGTTTCATTTCAGAGATGCAAGGTTGGTTCAACATATGCAAATCAATAAATGTAAATCACCACTTAAATAAAATTAAGGACAAGAATCACATAATCTCTCAATAGACAAAGAAAAGGCCTTTGATAAAATTCTGTACCCATTAATGTTAAAAATGCTAGAGAAGCTAAGGATTGAAGGAACTTGCCTCAACATCATAAAGGCTATTTATGATAAACCAAAGACAGCATCATACCAAATTGAGAAAAACTAAAAGCATTTATTCTAAAATCAGGAATAAGACAAAGCTGTCTAATTCTTACCACTTCTATTCAATATAGTCCTCGAAACATTAGGCAGAGCGATCAGTCAAGAAAAGGAAATCAAAGGGATACAAATAAGTCAAATTATCTGCTGATGACATGATCCTATATCTAGAAGACCCAAAAGACTCTACCAGAAGACTTCTAGAGCTTATAAATGAGTTCAGCAAAGTAGAAGGATACAAGATCAATACCCATAAGCCAATAGCTTTCTCCCTGTGCTCCCATCACCTGAGGAAGAAATCAATAAGACCATCCCATTCACAATAATCTAAAAAAAAAAAAAAGAAACTTGGGAATTAATCTAATCAAGGAGATTAAAGAGCTCCACAATGAAAATTATAGAACACTGAAGAAAGACCTTAGAAGATGGAAAGATATATTCCTTGGATAAGCAGAATTAATATTGTCAAAAAGCCATACTACCAAAAGCAATATACAGATTCAATGAAATCCCCATCAAAATACCAATGACAGAAAGACAGTGGAAAAAAATCAATTTTTCCCATGTACATATATGAAAAGAATGGGTCTCTAACTAGAATAAGATATATTCCATACTTGTATAATTATATCAGAATGGATTCTTCTGTCGTATATAACTAAAAAGAACAACAACAAAAAAATCCAAATAATGATGGCTTTAAAAATACTAATGACATTCTTCACAGAATTAGAAAAAACAATTTTTAAATTTGTTTGGAAGAATAAGATACCCAGAATAGCCAAAGCAATACCACGCAAGAAAAGTGAAGCAGGAGGCATCACAGTATCTGATCTGAAATTATATTATTATAGAAAATATACATAGATAAATTTGTATGTAGATAAATTTACATATTTAAAGCCATTTGATATTTGACAAAGGTGCCAAAAATATATTTTAGATTTAAAAAAAAAACAAGTCTTTTTAACATTGTGCTGGGAAAACTGGATAGCTACATGTAGAAAAATGAAAGTAAACATCTCCCACCCTGCAAAAGACTCAAATTGAAATGGATTGAAGACTTCAAAATTAGACCAGAATCTTTGCAACTGCTAGAAGAAAATAGAGTAAACCCTCCATCATTTAAGTGCTGGTACTGACTTTCTTAACAAGACCTCCAAAGCATAAGAAATAAAGCCAAGAATCAATAAGTGAGATGCTTTCAAACTAAAAAGCTTCTGCACAGCAATGGAAACAAATAAGAGCATGAAGAGGGAGCCTACAGAATGGGAGAAAATCTTGACCCAACTATGCCTCCAATAAGGTATTAATATCCAGAATATATAAAGAATTCAAAAAGCTTAATACCAAAAAACAACCCAGTCAAATGGGCAAAATAAGTAAACAGAAACTTCTCAAAAGAAGGAACAAAGATGGCCAACAACTATATGAAAAAATATTTAGTATCTCTAGCAATCAGGAAAATGCAAATCTAAATTACACTAAGATTTCATCTTACCCCATCAGAATGGCAATGATCAGGAAACAATAATAAATATTAGCAAGGTTTGTGGAGAAAAAGGTACACTTGTATGTTGATGGGACTACAGGCTACTACAACCACTCTGGAGAGAAGTATGGAGATTCCTCAAAAAACTAGTGATGGTACCACAATATGACCAGCTGTCCCACTCCTTGGTATTTTCCCAAAGATCTAAAGTTGGCATACTGTAGTGTTACAGTCACTTTAATGTTTATAGCAGCACAATTCATAATAGCTAAATTGTGGAATCAGTCCAGATGCCCATCAATAGATGAATGGATTGAGGTGAGATTATTGTATATATACAATGTAGTTCTACTCAGCCATAAAAAGAATGAAATTGTGGCATTTGCTGGCAAATGGATGGAAATGGAGAATATCAAGTCAAGTGAAATGAGCCAGACTTAGAAACTCAAAGGTCAACTGTTTTCTTTCATATGTGGATGTTGAATAAAATAAAGGAAAGGGGAAGGGTAGGGTAGGATATAATAAAGGGAAGAGTGGTAATGTAGAAAAAGGAGAGGCAAAGTGGAAGAACAGGTAAGAGGAGGCCTAAGAATGAATTCTTTAAAAATCATGTGTATATATAAACATACTGCAGGAAATTTCAACTTATGCATAAGTAAAAAGAACCAATCAGATATAAATAAATCAACAATTATAAGGAAATCTAGTCTAGTAGAGGAAGGAGAATAGGGGAAGGAAGGGAGGACAAGAGGAAAGAGGGGAGGATCATGAACTGAAACTGAATTCCATGATGTATGAGATTGTCAAGATGAATCCAACTGCTATATACACTATAAAGCTTTAATAATAAAAAGAAAAACTTAAAATGCATAACCAACATAAAAGAAAGCACTGCACTCACCAATTTATTTTTGTCACTTTTAATAAAAAGTAAGTTGATTGCTAAGTCCTAAATTTAAGGTTTACTCTGGGAAACTGCAATAATAGCGTGATATCTCAAATCCCAATTCATGAGTCATGCCCAGGATCCCTTTGCAGCTAGCAGGATAAAAAAGTCTACTGTGGCTAAGTGGCTTAGGTAAAAATGATGTATATACCACAAAATAAACTTAATGGGTCCTTCTAGAAATCACTTTTTGCAACAGATGTTAAGTTTTAAGTGTAATTTGAAGGTTACACTGAAAATACTGCCTTATCCTATCCAGAAAAGGTTTGTATCAGATTATCTAAGCGATTTCTGCTTTATAAATATATATTTTACCTTTAGTTTCTGAAATGAAAAAATGTGTGCATATATTTTTTCTGAATTTTTAAAAAATTTTATATCAAAATACATGTGCTTCAAAAAGAATTTTTAGAATTTATCAAGACACTAAATTTTTTTTAGAATTTATCAAAACACTAAATATCATTTAATTATAAAATTGAGACTTCTAATATTGAAAACAATTTAATCTTCTCTTATATCCATTTTGATAGGTTTGTATCTTTAAAAAAAAAAACTTTTAGTGACTTATCAGAAAGGAAAATAATCAAATGCAGATGTTTAGTTATCCATTTTGACCCAGAAGCTGCAAATTTTTAAAACCTGTTTTAAATGACTCTTCCCCCTTATTTGTAAGTTTTTTTTTTTTTTAATTAAACTGACTTACTTTTCTGGTATACATACAAATATGAACCAGGAAGTTTTTAGTATAGTAGAGCCCTCTGAGGGAGGGGAAGTGAATGAACAGTTGAGAATCACTTGGTTTGAGACACCAGGTCTTATTTCATTGATCTTTCTAATAATCCAGTGAGAGAGAAGTGTTTTCAAAGTCATCTGACAGATGAGGAAATGGAGTCAAAAAGAGGCTGTACAATTTGAACAGGGTCATCATCTATGCTGCAATATGCACAAATCTCTGACCTAAAGACCTCACTGCCTATAACACCAAGAAAGGCAGATATTTTCCCTTTGAATCTTTAAAAAACAATAAAAAAAGAAAAAGAAATTAATATTGAGCGTTAATCTAGTAAGTGAATTTGATTCATTCCTTTTATAGTCAATTTCTGAGCATGAGTTTAAGGAGAACATGAAGCTTGAGGCAGTGAACCCTCTTCTTCCTGAAGAAGTATGCATTGCCACCATTACTGCTGTGAGAGGCTCCTACCTGTGGCTCCAGCTGGAGGGTAAGTGCCAGCACTCCTTTGCTCTTCCTATTTATTTTGGTAGTGTGGCTTGTTTCACTTATTGGACTAGTTAAATAGTGACCTTATTTAGAGACTTCTGTTTGAATTGCACCACTCTGAACTAAAAATTTATTTTCCTGTCCTTAGTTTTCAATTTTTAGGCAATGAATGTGCATAAAACCTTTGTTATGAAGTCCCTGTTTTCTTGAAGGTTAAGTCAAATAGTATATATTTTGATGTGAGTAAAATAAATGAGCATGAACAGCAAACACAGTTTATTGAAGAGAGAGTATTTTGGTTGCCCCAGACAAACAGTATCAAAAGGCATATGAAATAGAAATTATGTATTTTATTCAGTGTAGTATTCAGTGATGGGGGAGGTTTGTGGTTATAAGGCTGTGTGAGTGCTCAGTGCTGTAGTTACTGTGTGTGGCTTGGGTTTCTTTTTCTTTATCCTATTGCCAAATAGTCATATTTTGAGAAGGTACCTACTATTTGTGATTTATGGAATTGGCATCTAATGCAGGCATTAAGGACAGTATTAAATGTAGACTTTCATGCAACTTGCTGAGCAACTTGCCAAATAATTTCCTGATTGGAATTTACTGTTGTACTTTCTGGCTTATTCCCAGAGTACCTGAACTAATGTTCTCATGAGTAGAATTGTCACTTTCCCTTTTGGTTTCTAATTATTTCAAGGAATTGGGTGGGGGGAGAATTGTTAGCTATGTGAATGATACCGGTGGTAGTTCTAGTTGCTTATTTGTTGTTTCTTCACTAAGGTCACCTTGTATATTCATTATCCATTTTGGTCCATAAAACTTATACATATAGGGCACAGTTCACTTTTTTCCATAATGTTATCATTCATGAAAAAGGTAAACTATGAAAAATATCCTTGCTCGAGAGACTTGTGTTTGTTTCTGTAACAGTAGAATGGTGTTTAGAAAGTAGTTTATGAAGTAGGCTATTTAATGATCTAAACAAAATTATTTTGTTTAATCTAAACAGGTTCTAAGAAGCCTATACCTGAATGTATTGTGAGTGTGGAATCCATGGATATATTTCCTTTGGGCTGGTGTGAGACCAATGGCCACCCCCTCAGCACTCCTCGCCGGGCACGAGGTATCTTTTCTGGGCAAGAGGGTTGATTGTTAAGTGATCTGTTGTATGACTTTTACCTATTAGGATGAATAGGGACATTTTAGAGAAAAACTGGTTATCTATTTCTACATAGGAAATTTTTTATTGCAACAAACATTATCTTATAGTGTCTGTGGGTTGGGCATCTGGGTGTAACTTAGGTGGGTTCTCTTGGATGTATATTTCTCCAAAGCTTCAGTGAAGGTTTCAGGAAGGGCCAGAGATATCTTAAGTCTTAATGTGGGAAGAATCTGCCCCCAAGTTTACTCAGATGATTATTRGCAAGTGTTGTTGTCCATTCTGGCTGCTATAACAAAATATCATAGACTGAGAAATTTATAAATTACACATCATCAGAGGCTGGGAAATTCAAGAACAGTGTATCAATGGATTCAGTGTCTGGTGAGGGCCTGTTTCCTGGTTAATAGATAACACCTTCTTGCTGTGTCCTCACATGCTAAAGAAGACTACTAATTAATTCCCTGTGGCCTCTTTTTTGTGGGGAGAGAGTACCAGGAATTGGACTCGGGGGCACTCAACCACTGAGTCACATCCCAAACTCTATTTTGTATTTTATTTAAGGACAGGGTCTCACTGAGTTGCTTAGCGTCTCACTTTTTCTGAGGCTGGCTTTGAACCACCGATCCTTCTGCCTCAGCCTCCAGAGCTGCTGGGATTACAGGCATGGGCCACTGTGCCCAGCATGATCTAATTACTTTTTTTGGTGGTGCTGGATATTGAACCCAGGGCCTTGTGCATGTGAGGCAAGCACTCTGCTGACCAGCCCCTGATCTAATTACTTTTAAAGACCGCCCCCCTTCCTAATGCCAACATGTTGGTGATTATGTGTCAGTATGAATTTGCAGGATATTCAGACCATAATAACAAAAAGTAATTTCCGTGGGCTATTGGATTGAGAGCCTGAGCTCTTTGCTGGCTATTGACTGGAGGCTTCCCTTAGTTCTTTGGCACATGGATCTTTCCATAGGGCAGTTAATGGCAAGATAACTGGATTCCATCAGAGTGAGGAAGTGAGAAAAAGCAAGAGAAGTCGAATAAGATGAAAGCTAGAGTCTTTTTGCAACTTAATCTTGATTTTTTTTTTTTTTTTGGCGGGCAGGAGAATAACTGGGGATTGAACCCAGGGATGCTTTACCATGGAGCTACATCCCCAGTTCTCTTTTTATGTATTTATTTTTTTAGTTGTATTTGGACACAATACCTTTATTTTTATTTATTTATTTTTATGTGGTGCTGAGGATCGAACCTGGGGCTTCTCATGTGCTAGGCGAGTGCTGTACCGCTGAGCCACAACACCAGCCCCCCCCCCTTTTAAATTTTTTTTAGTTGTAGATGAACACAATACCTTTATTTATTTTTATGTGGTGCTGGGGATTGAACCCAGTGCTTCACACGCACAAGTCTTGCACTCTACCACTGAGCCACAACCCCAGCCACCTCCCAATTCTTTTTATTTTTTATTTTGAGACAAGTTCTTGCTGAGTTGCTGAGGCTGGCCTTGAACTTGCAATCCTTCTACTTCAGCCCCCTCAGTAACTGAGATTACAGTGTAACCTAATCTTATATGTAATATTCTATCTCCCTTCTCTCTTTTTTAAAAAAATCTTTATTTTTTAGTTGTAGTTAGACACAATACCTTTATTTCACTTATTTATTTTTATGTGGTGCTTAGGATTGAACCCAGGGTCTTGCATGTGTAAGGCGAGCACACTACCGCTGAGCCACAACCTCAGCTCCCTATCCTCCCCTCTTTTAAAAACAGTTTTGAGATATAATTAGTATACCATGAAATTTGCTCTTTTGAAGTTTATAATTCCTTGGTTTTAGTATATTCACAGAGTTGTGCTATTACCTTCATAGTTGATTTGAGAACATATTTTTCATCTCCAAAAGAAATCCCATTCCAACCCCTTCCCAGAGAACTACTAATCTACTTTCTGTCTCCATTGATTTACTTATGTTGAACAGTTACTATTAATAGAATCATATAATATGTGCTCTTTTGTGACTATCTCCTTAGCATGTATTCAGAATTCACCCATGTGAATTAGTGTCTGTTAGTACTTTATTCCTTTATATAACTGAATAATATTCCATTGTATGGATATGCCACATTTTGTTTATCCATTCCTCAGTTGATGAACATTTGGGTTGTTTCCATTTTTTTACTATTATGAACAATGCTGCTATGAACTTCAGTGTACAAGTTTTATGTAAAGATTTGTGTCTTAATTTCTCTTGGGTACATTCTGATGAGTGGAAATGGTGAGTCATATGGTAACTCTATGTTTTCACGATTTGAGGAAATGCCAAACGGTTTTCCAAAGCAGCTGCTGCATTTTACACCTCTACCAGCAACACATGAGGTCCAGTTGCTGCACCTCTCCCCAGTGCTTCTTTTCTTTTCTTTTTTTTGGTGCTAGGGGTTGAACCCAGGGGTGCTTAACCACTGAGCCACATCCCCAGCCTTTTTATATTTTATTTAGAGTCAGGGTCTTGCTGAGTTGCTTAGGGCCTCACTAAATTGCTGAGACTGACTTTGAACTCATGACCCTTTTGCCTCAGCCTTCTGAGCTGCTGGGATTTCAGGCATGCTCCACCATGCCCAACTCCTTTGTTCATTTTTTGATAGCCATCTTAGTGGGTGTGAAATTATGATTTTGATTTGCATTTCCCTAATGATTAGTGATGTTGAGCTCTTCTTATATGCTTATTGGACATTAGTATATTGTCTCTGGAAAAATATCTACTCAAGTCCTTCACCTATTTTTAAATTGGGATATTTATCCTTCATTGACTTGTCAGAGCTCTTTGCATGTTAGAGATATTAATCCTTTATTAGATACATGACTTGGAAATATTTTCCATGGGTTTCTTTTTCACTTTCTTGACGTGCATAAGATTTTATTCTCTTTTATGCACAAAATTTAGTCAAATTTTAGTGTTTTGTACTTTTATTGCCTCTAATTTTGGTGTCATATTTAAGAAATAATTGACAAATACCAAGTCATGAAGTTTTTTTCATTTTTTTATTAAGAGTTTTATAGCTTTATCTCTTACATTTAGATCATTGATCAATTTTAAGTTCAGTTTTATATACAATGTAAGATAAGAGAATTCACTTTTCCCGGCACCATATTTTAAAAACTATGCCTTCCCCCATTGAATGGTCTGATTTGTACTTTTGTCAAACCAGTTTCTCATGAATATCTAGTTTTGCTTGGAAAATATTCCTAGGAATTGATTAACCCAGGGACCCTTGAAAATATCAATTTTTGCTCCTTGTATAAAGACTCCTACCCAAAATAATGTGCCTTATTTAGATATTCAAATACATAAGAACTTATATAAAGTAGCAGGTAGCTACCATTTTAAATATGTTAATATAAACAACACATATATAACTTTCTTTTGTCTTATTTTTCTTGACTCTCCACCCCCTTTCTTATAGTACATAAACAGAGGAAAATTGCAGTGGTTCAACCAGAAAAACAGTAAGTAATGTAGTAGAATGTCTGAATAGTTAAGTTTGAAATGTAGAATACAGAAATAACTAAAAGTATGTCATCTCATGTTTGTTTCTTGGATGGAAACATAGTCTTTTAATTGGATCGTTTTTATACAAATTAAATAGTTTTTATATTTCTGCTTATAGTATATATATATATTTTGTATTTGAATAAAAGAAAGGAAATAACAGTCCCCATTCTAGTATTTGTGAAGGAAAAGTAAAAATTGTAGTCAGGAAATTATTTGTTATAGTGTCTTTTTTTTTTTTTTTTGCTATTGGGGATTGAACCCAGGGGTGCTTAACCATTGAGCCACATCCCCAGCCCTCTTTTTATATTTATATTTTATTTTGAGACAGAGTCTCACTGAGTAGTTAGGGCCTCACTGTTGCTGAGGCTGGCTTTGAATTCACCATCCTCCTGCCTCAGCCTCCCAAGCCACTGGGATTATAGGCGTGTGCCACCTGTGGCTGGCTGTCACAGTGACTTGAAGTAGAAGACAACAACTCTTTAAAAAAAAAAAAAAAAAAAAAAAAGACATACTTGGAAGAGTGGCTTTGTGCCTACCAGGAAACTCTTTGTAGCATCTTTACATACAGCTTTTGAGAAGCAATTATTTGGTGGTGGCTTCAAATCTTAAAAGTGCAAAGTTTTCTGTGTTTATATTTATGTTTTTAAACAACAGATTTTGCATTCTCTATTAGTCTGCTTAAGTTTCTCAAACACAGTGCCACAGACTGAATGACTTAAACCTCAGAAATTTGTTTTCTCCTGTTTTTGGAAGTTGGAAAGTCCAGGATCAGTGTGCCAGCCAATTTGGTTCCTCTTCCTGGCTTGCTGATGTCTACCATCTGGTGGTGTCCTCATTTGGTGAAGAAATTCATTCATTCTTTATATTCCCTTACTCTCTCTCCCACCTCTTCTTATAAGGCCACCAATACTATCAGATTATGGCTCTACTCTTAAGACCTCATTTAATTTTAATTAATCCCCAAAGCCTGACCTCCAAATATAGTAAGGATTAAGACTTTGACATAGGAATTTGGCAGGAGGGATACAATGTCTTCTATAGAAAATTCTATTAGCCATCTAATTTATAATTAATTTATAAACGCCTTTGTGTCTGTATGGTTAATAAAACTGGCACAATTCCAGTGTCTTGGGATGCTGAGGCAGGAGGATCTCAAGTCAAGGCCAGCCTAAGCAGCTTAGCAAAATAAAAAATAGAAAGGGATGGAGATATAGTCAATGTTAAAGTGGTTCAACCTCCAGTCCCCCCCCCCAAAAAAAAAAAAACAAACTGACAATAGAATTGGGAAGAATTTCAGATACAGAAGTAAGATAACAGTGACAGTACTGGCTTTGGATTTTTCCTCAGCTTAGTTGTCAAGACCAGTCCACAGCTTTAGCCAGGAATCATTCTAAAAAGGTAAATTAGCCTGTTTTAGGGATTGCTACATACAGAATGAGTTTCTGTGTTTTTTCTCTAATAAAATAATTTTTAAAAATTTTGAAATTGACATAAGAAATATTTCTGTTCTGTGACTGCTGAAAAATTAATAGTTTACTTGTGGTTTAGGAATCCCACAAGAAATTTCATAATTTCTTGAAAACATGAATGAAAGTAAAATTCATCTGAATAAGCAGTTTTACAACACAGACTGTTGACTCATTAAATCTTGCACACAATTTGAAAAGCAATTGCTGTTGTTAAATAAAATTATGATGAAAGAAGGACTTTATGCTGACTGCCACATTTGCTGTCTTAAATTTGAAGGAAACTAACCCTCATGCTTAGCTGATCTTAAGGTTGATCTCACTATTTGCTGTGTTTTCCTAACCTAGAGTACCATCCTCTAGGACTATCCACGAGGGTCTGAAGAGTCAGGAGTCAAACTCCACAGACTCAGGTATGATAAGCATTTATATCTTATTTCTTTYCATGGACTGTATCTTACATTTGATTTAAAGAATGTGGCTTCATAGAGGAGCCTCCTAATTGAGACCCTAGTTATAACTGTCTAAGATGTATTTAGTTTTATAATCACCTGTAGGCAGATATTTCTACCCATTTCTAATTATAGGTGTTCTTCACTGATTACCAGTTGGGTGCCAAAGACTCTGGGGGTTGATGTTACCATTCCCGACTTGGGATAAAGAACCTGAGGCTATCCAGGCATTGTTCTTTCTTAAGCTTTGCTTGAGAGGTGGTTAACTCTTTATATGTAAATTTTACAGTTAAAGAATAAAGCACTGGCTTATTTGATTGTATCAGAGGCAATGCCTGATAAGGGATATAAGGATCCTTGGTAGAAGTTTATATTTTGTCCAGGGTCTTTCTGGAACTATTCTTGACTACTCCTGTCCTGGCTGTGTAATGCTTAGCATCATGATTATGTATATTCTAGCACAGATTGGGTATTCAGGTGCTCTAGAAAGGAAACCAGAGCTCAAGAGAGCTCACATTGCATATGAGTGGAAGGCTGAGAAGTGGAACTTAACTGTTTCCCAAGTTCAAAACCTGTACATTTGTCTCTTCTACCCATTAACTTTTTATTACATCATTTATACACAGAAGATTGGGACTATGTCGACTACTTATTTTTTTGCATTGCTGGCCATTTTGATGCCTACTGCAATTACAGAACTAAGACATTAATATCTTATATGTGACCACAGCCAAGTCATCTTGGTTTAGGTTTTGTCATAGTTCAGGTTCCCTGGGAAACAGTATGAGACTCTGATATTTGCATGCAGGAGTCTGACTGGGAGTGCTTTGGTAACAACTTCTGGAAGGAGTGAAGGAAGCAAGTTTGCATACAGAGAGAAGTTGAAGCGCAAGGTAGTTGCAATAGAAGTTTCTTATCCTCCCACAAGGAGCCTTAGAACTGATCTAAAGCACATAGTTGTCCATAATTCAGGCTTTGTGGCCACTCATTACTTGTTATTAGAAGTAGACTTCAGCTCTCTCTACCTCAAAAGGAATGGGACCTTGGATGAGATGGCTCTTTCCTACTGAGGGCAGTCCCCAGATCAGGGCAACTATAGAACAGACTTGTAACTGAGAGCTATAAACTGCCAATATTCCTTAGAGGCATGACTACCTTAATTCTGCTAAGAGCATCCAGATGGCAGAGTTCAGATAGAAAAGTGGATGCTGACAGGTAACCACCATGCTAAAACCACATTCTTTTTTTTTTTTTTAATTTTTTTAGTTGTAGATGAACACAATAAATACCTTTATTTTATTTGTTTATTTTTGTGTGGTGCTGAGTATTGAACCCAGTGCCTCACACATGCTAAGTAAGCAAACACTCTACCACTGAGCTACAACTGCAGCCCCAGGACTGCATTCTTAATTAAAGAGAGAACATTATGAATGTAAGTCCTGTCAATAGTGGACATTGTACACACACCTGCTTTTCTTAATGGTGGATAAAAGAGCAGTATCCATCAAAGGAGTTTCTGCTGCATATCAAATGAAGATGTTTAATGTCTTTTTAAATTTTCTACAATCAGTAGCTGAATTGTCAGTTGCTGTGAGGAATTATTAAAAAAAACATTGCATTTAAGAACATTATTTATTCAGAAAATATTTGAATTTGGTGTCAAAGCCTTGTTGCACCCACTGCACACAAAAGGAACCCAGAGATGTTGGCACAGCACACTTTCAGCCCTCTGAGAAATCCCAGAGATGGGAGAATTCACACAGTATCAGATCTGCCAGATTATTTGTTTGGTGGATTTTAGAAGACAAACTTTAGTTCTGGATAATACGCAGTGTCAATTCCTAGAAATATTCCTGAATAGATTATCAAATAGTTGGTATTTGAAGAACTAAAACTGTTGATTGTCAGGAATCATCATTGGTTCATGAAGTACATTTTCTACTTCTTTATTGTTAGAAGTAAAGGGCTCTAGAATAGTGTTACATTCAATCCAGGAGTTAATGAGCATGTAATTCAGGACATTTGTTTGATTTCAGTAGAGTGATAACCTCTGTAAGGCTAGTATAAGGTAAGTATAAGCTTTCTAAATATAAATTATTTCAAGAGAATTCTCAAACACTATATTAAGCTTCAAAATATGTAACTCATTGGTAGAGTGCTTCCTTAGAATGCATGAGGCCCTGGGTTTGATCCCCACAACTTCAGAGACAGAGATAGGGAAGGGAAAAAGGGAAAAGGAAAAGAATCATAGAAAAAGAAAACACATAATCTCCAAACTAACCTAATGGTTTATTTGCTTGGTTCCCACCCCTGTGCCCCTGGTAATTCAGCATTGGAAACATGGGATAGAGAATGACTGTTCTTAATATTTGTTTTACTTCATTTCTCAGTTATGATTAATGGAAAATATTGCTGTCCAAAGATATACTTCAACCACCGTTGCTTCTCAGGGCCATATCTTAACAAAGGAAGAATTGCTGAGCTGCCTCAATGTGTAGGACCTGGAAACTGTGTTCTGGTCCTCAGAGAGGTAAGATTCTAGCTTAGAGAAGAAGAACTTGGAAATATAAGGAGTCTCCTAGGGCTCATTCATACAGGAGCCATATTTCATAGAACTGAGAACTCTTGATTTTATAAAAAGTTACTAACTTTTCTCATAAACAGTATTCCCCATCCTTTATCCATGTGGTATGTATTCCAAGACCTTAGTGAATGCCTGAAAACATGGATAATACCAAACCTTTTATATGTTGTGTTTTTTCCCTTATATACATACCTATTGTATTAGTTGGGTTTTGTTTTGTTTTTGTTATTATAATGGAATAACCAAGCTACTTATAAGGAAAGAGAGGTTTATTTGGCTCATTTTTTTTGGAGCCTGAAATTCCAAGATCAGGTGGCTCCAGATCAGCCTCTTGTGATGTTCTTCTTTGCTGATGTTCGTGATATTACGTGGCAGGAATGCTTGTGTGAGAAAGAGATCACAGTACCAAACAGGAAGCCAGAGAGAAACGAGGGTCCCACAATCCTTCCAAAGGCATGTCCCCAAATGGCCTGTGTATCTCCAATAGGCTCTACCTCTATAAGTTCCCATCACCTCATCACTTTCCACATCTATCATTCTGGGGACCAAGCTTTCAACACATAAATTTTGGTAGAACACATTCAAATCAGTACCTATGATAAAGTTTTAGTTTATAAGACACAATAAGAGATTAACAACAATAATGAATAATAGGACAACTATAACAATATACCATAATAAAAGTTATATGAATGTGGAATCTCTCAAGATATCTTACTGTGCTGTATTTACTTTTCTAATTGTAATGATCTGAGCTTATACAGTGCCTACAAGATGAGACAAGGGAATGATGTAGGCATTGTGATATGGCATTAGGCTACTTAAAGGGTTACTTGAACATAAGCTCTGTGATACCTCAATAGTTGATCTAATAACTGGCACAGCTGCTAAGTGACTAACAGATGTGTAGTGTATACAGATGGATACTATGGACAAAGGGGTGATTCATATCCCAGGAAGAATAGTGCAATTTAAAAACTTAAAAACTTTTATTTCTGGAATTTTCCATTTAATATTTTTGGACTTTGGTTGACCATAGATAAAGTTAAGTACTGGACAGCATATTGAGCACATAATTATTTCTACTCCCCCCAAAACATTCATCTAAGTAATTCTTCACATGGCAGTAATTCTTCTACTTTTGTCAGCATGGAGGGGTGTTCTGTCAGACACCACATGAGAACTGTGTGATGTGAACTAATAAGTCTATGACTTGGAGACTATGTGATATTAACCAAGGACCAAGCTATTCATGAAAAAGCTATTCATCTGTTGGACTTGCAGTGCCTCTCAGCCATTGTGCTATTCTGTGGATAACAGATTTGAGGATCTATCAAACTTTTCAGCCTTCAGGGTAGCAACTTGCAGGATCTGGGGAAGCCAGAGCTTCTGGGCCAGACTCCTCAAGTCTCCATAAGGCTCAGCTATCGATAGTTTTTACTGTCCCAAACAAATGTAATCTTCTGTGTGTGCTACAACTGGGAAAACATTTTAGAAGCATGTGCTAGAGTACTTTAAAATTTATGGTGCCTGTGTTTTCATGACCATAGCATTTTGAATGTTTAAGAGGACAGTTATTCTTTATTTGCAACTTTGGGCAACTATCATATGTTTGGTTTTACTATTTTGTTAATCTTAATTAATGTGACTAGAATTAATCTCTAAACAATTGTCTTAACAATCTATGGGATAGCAAGAGTGCCGTGGTGCTAATGATCTGTTTTTCTCCTTCCCTACCCATATTTCTTTCTGCTTTAAAACCGAGTTCAGGTCCTCACTTTACTTATAAATGCAGCCTATAAACCCAGTCGTGTCCTTCGGGAGCTCCAATTGGACAAAGACTCTGTGTGGCATGGATGTGGAGAAGTCCTAAAAGCCAAGTGAGTAGATTCCTCTGCTCTCTATTCTTGTTTTTAACAAGTCACGGAATCAGTTCTTATGTGGATTATGTCAGATGCTTATGTTTTCTAGGGTAGTGTTGCTTTATCTTTTATTTGTGGTGAAGAACCAAGCTGATTTTCTTTTTTTAGATTCCATTCTGTCATGGATCAAAACATTTACAAAATATGATAAAAATGAATTATAAGAAATATAAAATTTAAGACACAAAATTGCAAGAACAATTTCCTATTAGATTCAAGAGACATAAAATCTTCCAGTTGACTCTTACTTTCTGACCGTGCATGGATGACAGTTGGCAAGTCATACTATCCTTGAACCACCTTCTGAGGATCACTACCCACCAATAAAGAAACACTTAAGGAAACATCACTTTTGTGTTTATACTAATTAGTGAGATTACTATTTGAAAATCTTCACAGGTCTGGGGTTATGGCTCAGTGGTGGGGTGCTTACCTAGCACGTGCAAGGCCCTGGGTTCCATCCTCAGCACCACATAAAAATAAATAAGTAAAATAAAGGTATTGTGTCCAACTGCAACTAAAAAATAAAATATTAAAAATTTGTTCATTTAAATAACTCAGCTTTTAGTTGTCACATCTTACTAGATTTAAGTCTAATGTTGTTTTCAGAGACCTCAAACTCGGTAGGACTCAGAATATTCTAAGAACAAAAAAATATTGTTCATCTATTTAGTATGCTTGGTTTTTCTTTGTATAATCACTGGCTAAATAAATCTGTCATCTGATTTCTTCCAATGGTAGATATAAGGGAAAAAGTTATCGGGCTACTGTTGAAATAGTAAAAACAGCAGATCGGGTAACTGAATTCTGCCGGCAAACCTGTATTAAACTGGAATGCTGTCCTAACCTCTTTGGTCCACGGATGGTTCTGGATACATGTTCTGAGAACTGCTCTGTACTTACAAAGACCAAATACAGTAAGTCATGTTTTTCAAATATATTAATTATAGCAACTGACCATACTTTATATATTGGAATTTTTAATTTTTGCAGACATACTTATATATAACATGAGTACACAAACATTTTCTGTAAAGGACAAGATAGTAAATATTCTATGCTATGGGTCATGTGGTCTCTCTTACATATTGTTTTTATTCTGTTGTATTTTCATTTTAAAGAACCCTTTTTAAAAATGTAAGATTACATTTTTAGCTGAAGGACCATACCAAAATAGGCCATAGGTTCTAGTTTGCCAACTTCCATGTGGCACATGTATAAATTAGATGTTGCATTAAATAGGATAGGACATTCATTTATATGATTTTCAGGTGTTTATTGTGTGCCTACTGTGTGAGCATTGGCATATATTAATAAAACAAAATTCTTGTCCTGAGTTTTCATGTAATTTGGGATAGATAATAAGTGAACAGCTATAGAGAGTTACATACAAGAGGTAGGGAATAAAGCAAGGTGAGCAAGTACAGTAGAGGAGTGGGGAAGGCTAGGCCTGGGGTGCTGTATATACAGGTGATCAAGAAAGTCTTCTGACAGGGAACACCTGAAGGAAACAAGAACATAGCTGTGCAGACATCTTGGTAGAAAGGGTATTGAGGGCACAGGCTTGAGGCAGGAGCTTTCTCRGTGTCTGTGAAGAGCAGCGAAGTAGGCCCAGCGGTTGCAGAGGCATAAATAGCAGGAGAGGAGGAAGTTGTAGTCTCACTTTGAAGTATGCTGACACCTGTTTCCTCTCTGTGCTTATCTTTTCTCCTTTATGAAACTGAGATGGGGTCATGTAGGATGAAATTTCAGGTGGGAGCCTCATTAAGACATTGTTACCCAAAGCTAAAATTCTGATCCTGCTTTTCTTTAAATCCCACAAGCCCTCTGTCACTTGGGAGAATTAACACAGATGAGGAGTTTACTGTGTTAAATTTGAAAAGATTTCTTTTAGGGCTGTGTGCCTCTTAAACTTTATGGCACATGCAGATCACCTGAGGATCTTGTTAAAATGGATTCTGGTTTATTAGATGTGTGGGTCTATGAGCCTGAATGTCTGCTTTCTAGCAAGCTCCCTGAGGTGACTGATGGTGCTGATCCAAGGCTTAGACCTTGCATGGCAAGCTTTCTAATCAATGTTTGAATTAAAAAATCACGTAAGAGTCTAACTTTCTAGTTTCTGTTTGTATATATTGGATTGTAAACTCTGTAAGGGTATAGATTATTTTAGTCTATTGTATCAGAGTTTGGAAAATTACAGCTATTAGGAGCTAGATGAAAAATACTATTCAGATAAATGCACATATAACACTTTGGGCCTTTGAAGATTTGTGAATTTTATTATGCTTTTTGTCTGAATATATCTTTCATAATGATACAGTTGAAACTAGCCTAGATTTTAGGAGCGTCTGTAATTTTTGCCTAATTCGTAATGATAATGAATGAACTTTAACCTTTAAAAAGAATTCATTTGTGTAGAAAGTTCCATTATATATTTTTTAAAATATTTTTTGTGGATGGACACAATACCTTCATTTTATTTTTATGTGATGCTGAGGATCAAACCCAGTGCCTCCAATGTGTGAGGCAAGCACTCTACCACTGGGCTACAACCCCAGTCCCAATTATGTTTTGATATTGCCTTAATACATAACCCAGAGATAGATAATTAAAAAATGAAATACATAGTCTATGTATTCTAAAATTTAAATGAAAAGAATAAAGTTGAAGGACTTTTCACTTTCTCTATTTTTAAATCATAAAGCTATAGTAATCAAAAGAGCACCACATAAAATAAAGGCATTGTGTTGTGTCCATCTACACCTAAAAAATAAATATTAAAAAAAAAGAGTAGTGAAATAAAACAATGGGATAGAGTATAGGGTCCAGAAATAAAGCCAAATTTATATGGTCAAATGATTTTCAACAAGGGTGACCAAGGAATTTAATAGAGAAAGGAGATTCTTTTCAACAAATGGGACTAATACAACTGGATATACAAATAGGAAAAACAAAAAAACAACTCTTTAACTCCTACCTCATAACTCATATAAAAGTTAATTTTTAAGATCTATTATAGACCTAATGTAAAAGCTATAACTGTAAAGAAGAAAACAAGGAGAATATATTCAAGTTGGAAAGATTTGGGGGGACTCAAAGATTTCCTAGAGAGGACTCAGAAATACACTAACATAAAGGAAAAAATTAATAAGTTAAATATTACCAAAATTAAAAACTCCTACTCTTCAAGCCAAGTGCAATGGTGCACGCCTGTAATCCCAGTGGTTTAGGAGGCTGAGACAGGAGGATTGCAAGTTCAAAGCCAGCCTCAGCAGCAGCAAGGTGCTAAGCAACTCAGTGAGACCCTGTCTCTAAATAAATACAAAGTAGGGCCGGGGATGTGGCTCTGTGGTTGAGTGCCCCTGAGTTTAATCCCCGGTACCCCCCATCCCCAAATTTTGCTCTTCAGTACTTTTTTTTGGGGGGGGCGGGCAAGTACCAGGGATTGAACCCAGGTGCTTTTAACCACTGAACCATGTCTCCAGCCTTTTTTTTATTTTTTAATTTTGAGACAGGTTCTCGTTAAGTTGCTTAGGGCCTACTGAGTTGCTGCAGCTGGCTTTAAACTTGTGATCCTCCTGCCTCAGCCTCCCAAGCCACTGAGATTACAAGCATGTGCCACCACACCCAGCAATAATACTATTTTAAAAAAAGAAAAGGGGCTGGGGTTGTGGCTCAGTGGTAGAGTGCCTGCTTTGCACATGTGAGGCACTGGGTTGGATCATCAGCACCACATAAAAATAAATAAAGATATTGTGTCCATCTACAACTAAAAAAATACTTAAAAGTAACATGCATATCCAGCAAAGAACTTCTCTTCAGAATATATTAAATCCCACAACTTAATAACAAAAAGGGGAATTTTAAAATGACACATCCAGTAGCTGCTTGACATTTTGAATATACTTCATACCTCTGAATTGTGGAGGTTTTTTCCCCCTCTGTTACTGGGAATAGAAGCCAGGGGCTAGCACTAAGCTACTCTCCTAGCTCCTTTTTTTTTTTTTTTTCTTTTTTTGAGACAGAGTCTTGCTAAATGCTAAGGCTAAGATCTTGAGATCATCCTTCCTTAGCCTCACAAGTAGCTAGGATTACAGATGTGTGCCAATGCGGCTAGCTGAATTATACACTTTTAAATAGTCATTTGTATGTTATGAGAGTTTCACCCCCAGGGGAAGGTGAGAAAGAGGGAAAAAGAAAATAAAATGTTTTGGAATTATAAAGTGGTAATGATTGCACAACATATTTATACTAAAATCACTGAATTATATACACTTTAAACTGTTGAATTTTATGTTAGGTGAATTATATCTCAGTAAAATATTTAGGAACAAAAAGGGCTGCGGATGTAGTTCAGAGGTAGGTGCTTATCTAGCACATGAGTGAGGACCCTGCATGCAGTCCACAGAACCAAAAAAAAAWTTTTTTAAGTAAAATTTAAAATGAAATAAAACAGTTTAAAACTACAAATGAAAGATTTGCATATGTATTTCAAGAAAGAAGATATACAAATGTCCAATAATCACATGAAAAAGTGTACAATATCATCAGTCATCAGGGAAATTTGCAAATTAAAACTACAGTGAGATTTGTAGTAACATGGATGGAACTGGAAGATATTATAAAGGAAATAAATCATGCACAGAAAGACAAATATTGCATGTTCTCAATTATATTTAGAAGCTAAAAAGCTGATCTCATATAAATAGAGACTAGAATAGGGATCACCAGAATCTGAATAAGGGTGTGGCAAAGGGGAATAGAAAGAGGATGACTAATGGGCATAGGGATGCAGTTTGATAGGAGCAATAACTTATAATGTTTTATAGCACAATAGCATAACTATGGTTGACAAAACCTAATTGTGTATTTCAAAATAGCTAGTAGAGAGGATTTTGAATGTTTATAACAAACAATATATCTTCAAGGTGATAATTATGCCATTTATCCTGATCTGATCATTACTTATTGTACACATGCATTAAAATACTGTACCTCACAAATATGTGCAATCATTGTGTGTCAATTAACAACAAAAATATATTTTGTTTATTTATTTATTTAGTAGTACTCGGGATTGTACCCAGGGTTTCTTGTGTGCTAGGCAAGTGCTCTACCACAGAGCTATATCCCCAACACTTTTAAAATATTATTTTGAGACAGTTGTACTAAATTGCTCAGGTTGGCATTAAAGATACAATCCTCCTGCCTCAACCTGCTGAGTAGCTAAGATTACAGGTGTTTGCTACCCGGCTAATAAAAGTAGCTTTTAAAAGACAAAAACAAACAATAGAAACTAAAGTGAGAACTTACTATACACTCACTACATTGACTGAAATGAAAGACTGACAATACTACTACTGGTTGGCAAAGTGTAGAAAACCTAAATCTCCCATACTTTGCAGGTGGGAATGTAAAATTACACATCCATTTTGGAAAGCTAGTAGCTTCTTTAAAAGTAATGATATATGTGGCTGGGGTTGTGGCTCAGTAGTAGAATGCTCACCTAGCACATGAAAGGCCCTGGGTTTGATCCTCAGCACCACATAAAAATAAATAAAATAAAGGTATTGTGTCCAACTAAAAAATAAATAATTTTTTAAAAAGTTAATGATATGTCCTCTCTATGATTCAGCAACTATATTTTTAGGTGTTTATAAAAAGCAATGAAAACATGTGCATTAAAAGCCTTGTACACGAATGTTCGTTGTAAAGAAATTATATTCATAACCCAAATACAGCCCAAGTACCCATCAATAAGAAAGTAGATAAACTGGTACATTTCTACAATGGAATGCTATTCACAAACAAAATGGAATAAATTTGTATACATGATAACAGATGAAACTCGAAAACATTATCCTGTGTAAAAGAAGCCACATATTTAAAAAACTACCTACTGTATGGTTCCATAGAGATATAAAAATAATCTGTCATCATGGAAATTAGAATAGTGGTTGCTCTGGGAGGGAATGACTGGGTTAATGAAGATGTTCTATATCTTGATATGTGGAGGATTATTCAGGTTTATTCACCTGTCAGTATTAATTATATCAAATACTTATCTCCTTATTCCACTATATGGAATTTAAGCCTCAGTCAAATATACTATACCTGTTTTCTGCTATGTTAATAAACTCTCTTGTGGTTTTAAGGTGCATAGCAATAATAAAGCAACTTTTATTTTTCTTTATCATCCACATTTAGCACACTATTATGGAAAGAAGAAAAATAAAAGAATTGGAAGGCCCCCTGGTGGGCATAGTAACTTAGCTTGTGCCCTGAAAAAAGCCAGTAAGAGGAGAAAGAGAAGGAAAAATGTTTTTGTTCATAAGAAGAAACGTTCCTCTGCATCTGTTGATAATACCCCAGTGGGCTCACCCCAGGTACGATATCTGTAATGTACCCATCATCTCTAGCAGCCACTGCTTTATAATTCGAACACAGAAAGAATATCTGCAGGTAGTTCTAATTCTAATTCTAATTCAATAGAARATGGTTTTGTGGTCCAGGAACTGGTTTGTCCTGAATTTCAATGAGACTTGTCTCTTTTTCCTCTAGGGAAGTGGGGGTGAAGATGAGGATGATGCAGATGAAGGGGATGATGAATCCCTAAGTGAGGATAGTACATCTGAGCAGCAGGATGAGCTGCAGGAAGAGTCAGAAATGTCCGAAAAAAAATCATGCTCCTCTTCTCCCACCCAAAGTGAGATATCCACTTCACTGCCCCCAGACAGACAAAGGAGAAAAAGAGAACTTCGCACTTTTTCATTTTCTGATGATGAAAATAAACCTCCTTCGCCAAAGGTACAATTGTTTRAAATGTTTTTTTCCCCATTTTAATTTTCTTCTAGAATCTAATTGTTAATGATGCAGGCATTCCACTTCTTTTTTTTTTAAATTTTTATAGTTAGACAGCATGCCTTTATTTTATTTGTTTATTTTTATGTGTGCTGAGGATCAAACCCAGTGGCTCACAAGTGCAAGGCAGGCACTCTGCCACTGAGCTACAGCCCCAGCCCTCCACTTCTTTTAATACAAGCTAATGATTCCAAAGGCAGTGATTTACATGTGTTTCAAGTATTATTTGGAGGAGATCATTTATTTATGAGGGGCACAATCTCTCAGCAGCTGCTTAAGTTAAAAAAACTCAATTGCTAGTTTATTTTAGAGCCTCTCATTTAATTTAGGGAAAACTGTCCTTTTTTTTTTTTTTCCTAACTATTGTAGTTTGACACAATGCCTTTATTTTATTTATCTATTATTATGTGGTGCTGAGGATCGAACCCAGTGCCCCNGTGGTAGCGCGCTCGCCTGGCATGCGTGCGGCCCGGGTTCGATCCTCAGCACCACATACAAACAACGATGTTGTGTCTGCCGAGAAATGGAAAATAAATATTAAAAAATTTAAAAAAAAAAAAAAAAAAAAACTCAATTGCTAGTTTATTTTAGAGCCTCTCATTTAATTTAGGGAAAACTGTCCTTTTTTTTTTTTTTTTCCTAACTATTGTAGTTTGACACAATGCCTTTATTTTATTTATCTATTATTATGTGGTGCTGAGGATCGAACCCAGTGCCCCACACATGCCAGGCAAGCACCCCACCACTAAGCGACAACCCCAGCCCAGGAAAATTGCCTTTTAATATGTTCATAATACGTATGGTTTTTGTAGAAATAGTTATTTATCTTTTTGATTCTGGTTAAGCTATCTTGTTTACTATACTTAATATATGCATATATGTATATTATATAAAGTATGTGTGTGTGTGTGATAAGATTGCAATTTAGTTATTGTTTTATTGTTTTGCCTGTAATCCCAGCAACTTGGGAGACTAAGGCAGGATTATTACAAATTTGAGGCCAGCCTGGACAACTTGGTGAAACCCTGTTTCAAAATAAAAAGGGGTGGGGATATAGCCCGGCACCTCAGTGCTGGGATGGTGGGGAATTATTATTTTAAAAATGGATTACTTTTTTAAAATGTACCATGAGCAAGAGCAATAAAAGGTCTCTTGTGACAATTTGGTTAGCCTCCTCATTGAAAATACCATCCCATTCACTTTAGTACACTAGCAGAGACCAGCTGAAATAGACCAAGAACAAATAGGAGAGTTAAAAACTTTTTCCTGTTAAATTGTCCCACTTATTTGTGCTGAAACTCTGAGATGAATTCTTCCTTTTTGATAATGTTGTGTTATAAGAAAATAAAATAAGATAAAATTTATATTATAAATTTCCTGAGTATCTAATGCATGTAGGGTTTTGCCATCTTTGTTGGGGGAAATCATGTCCTAAGATCACTTTAAATCCTGTCTTGAAGGGTTATTAACTTATGGAGAGACTTTTTTCAGATAAAATAGCTCTTACACCCTTTGGTTTGATTTTGTTGTGGGGAATGAAGGAAATAAGGATTGAAGTTGCTGAAAGGCTTCATTTGGATAGTAACCCCCTGAAGTGGAGCGTGGCAGATGTCGTTCGGTTCATCAGATCCACGGACTGTGCTCCATTAGCAAGAATATTCCTAGACCAGGTAATTGCAGATACCTATAATCTATAATAATATTGTCTTTTAGCAAAGAACTATTTGTATAATAGTGAACAATTTATTTACAAGTTTTAGGAAAAATGTTTGATCCAAAACTAAGGCATTGTTTTAATTCCCGTTTGGGGAGGAAAACAAGATGATCTAACTTGCTTCATGGTTGAAGCAAATTTTCATTGCATTTCCATTTTTCTCAGAAATTTGATTTTGTTACCCATGTATTTAATGGATTGAAATCAAGCAAGCCTTGCTTAACTCTCATCTTTTAAAAAAAATAATGATTTGGCTTATTTTTAAAAATACCATTTGTCATATGTCAAGCTGTAAAGTAACAATCAGGGTTTTTTAAAAAATATTTTTAGTTGTAGACGGACACAATACATTTATTTTGTTTGTTTATTTGATTATTTATTTATTTATTTTAATGTGGTGCTGTGGATCGAACCCAGTGCCTTCATGTTCTAGGGCAAGTGCTCCACCACTGAGCCACAACCCCAGCCCAGTGACAATCAGTTTTAAGGTAGATTTCCTGAAACCCAAGTAGTTCATATGGGCTGGGGGTATAGCTCAGTAGTAGAGTGCTTGCCCAGCATGCATGAGTTCCTGGATTCAATTTCTTGTACCACAAAAAAGGAAAAAAAAAAAAAAAACCAAAACCAGAACAAACAGTGGCCCTAATTAAAATAAATTTTGTTTTGATAATTGGAGTTATTCAAAACTGAACATCTTTGAAGAGCTTATCATGTTTTTATGAATGTTACAAAGTAGGAGAATATTAAAGTTTATAGTTAATATTTTGTTTCAGATTGAGAAAGAGCCCTCTAAAAAGATATTTCTTTTAGCACAGTTAGTTGCCAGTTAACAGGGTTCAACAGCTTACTGAAATGAATTTCTGCTGAGCAGAGGCTCTATAGAATGGATTTTTATCCATGGTAAAATTTCTTATCCACTTTGAAGCTTCTTTAGGTGGAGGACATTGGAGCCACTTAAAAGGAGATGTGTGACACTTGTGTAAAGGGAAAGGTAACGAAGGGAAAGCACAAAGGGACTCTGGTTTTGATAGAACCAAAATGAATTGGGGCTGTCATGCTCAAGCTGCCATTCATGTGCACATCATAGATAATTTGCATTTTTATGCCTTAACAGGAAATTGATGGGCAGGCCCTGTTGCTCCTTACCCTTCCCACTGTTCAAGAGTGCATGGACTTAAAATTGGGCCCTGCCATCAAGCTTTGCCATCACATAGAAAGGATCAAGTTTGCTTTTTATGAGCAGTTTGCCAACTGAGAAGGACAACCAAAGTAAGCTGGATCTTTGAAGCACAAATGCAGCAAATCCTTCGCCCTGCTCTTGAAGTAGAGCTGAAATAGTCCTGGGGCTCTGGGCCTTGCAGGTGTCGGCTTGCTCTCTTTGCACTTTCAGGGAAGGAGGACCCATACCAAGGAAGCAAAAACGGCACAAAAATGGCTCTCCTGCCATTGGAATTGTGGACATTTCATGTTCAGCAGATTACAGTTTTTTAAAAAAATAAAGGTTGTGAGGAAAAAAACTCATAAGAAGAATAAGCATTTCCAGTGGTGTAGCCTGAAAACAAAGAATAATCTGGGCAGCTGGATGGCACTGATGTGGTTGTTTCTTTTCATTCTGTTCTTTCCTTCCCACTGTAGATTGAACTTTGTTCTCTGCTTTCTCTTTCTTGGAAAGAGAGGACATAGCTTTAAGTCAGCACTGATTTGGGACTCTGCCTAAGGCACATCAGTGCTTCATTGTCATTGTGTTTTTAAGCTTTTTAAAATTAAAACAATTCTTTTTGGGGATGATTATGTGGCTCTAGGGTTTTGAATGTATAGTCACACTTTGATCCATTTTTAAAATCTATTCTTAAGAGTTCCTTTGTTTACTACCTCTGTTGATAATTGAGCTTACAGCCATGAATGAGGTTTTTTGTATGATGTCATTTTTAAGCTTCGTGAACACTAATACTATGACAGAAGTTGGAAGGAGAAAAAAACACTGTTTGCTTTCTTAAAAACATTGTATGGACACTTAAACCAGTTTTTTAACTGACCTGCCCTAAGAACTCTGCTGTCATTGTTTTTTTACCTTGACCCAGTTCTGGATACCTGTGTTTAAGTAGGCTTACAAGCATTGTTGGTATTTCAGTTTAATTGCTGTCTCCCTATTAGGTCTCAGAGGGATGGAAATGGCTTTTATTTTGTATTTACTTTTCTCTAGATTTGTTTGTCTACCTCTGTTTCATTCCTAGAGTCCTTTGTGTGAATCAGTAGATGTTCCTTTGAATCCTCTGTAAAGCCCATTTTCCATGCTTTCTAGGTATCTCCAGGTAAATAGTGTAGAAGCACAAAGAAAAAATGTGATTTTGGGGGTGACACAGAGCATGGAGTTCCTGCTGGAGTGTCCTCAGTGATAGGATAAAGATTGAGAGGTAGTTAAGGAGTCTGGAAATCTCTTTGCTTAGCCACATATATGCTTTTCTTTGCCTAAACCTTTAAATTGAATGTACTTTACAGTCTGAGGATTCTCACTTTAGTATTCTTTTAGGTGTTTCTTTGGACTCAGTTCACATTGACATGAAATTCCAGATGAATTTTCGCTTATGATTGCATTGCTAGCTATTGTAGAGTAACAGCACTTCTTTATACTATTCTAGACACAGAGAATGAGGAAAGACATACACAGATTGCCTCCCTTATGTGGTTTGCTTTACTGTTTATTTATTTATTTATTTATGTTTGAATTGTCCTAGTCACCTGCAAATTTATAACCTAATCATTCCTCCTTGAGAATTATGAAAATGTTTTAAAACTGCTAACTGGGTAAATTCTGAACAACTATACAAATATAAGGTAATATTATTACAAATTTAAACTGATTGTGATTTTTTTTTTCCTTTTCTCTACCCAACACCCTCTCTTTTTGTGTAGTTTTGCAAACAGTCCAGTCTGGATCCTCTTTTCAATGGATAATTCATGAGCCACCAGAACTCAAGTTCTCCAACCAAATGATAAAAGCATTAACTTTTCTTAGGTTACTAACATATTTGGAAAGAAGGTCCATTTAAGTAAAAGTTAATGTATTTGAACTTATTCACAGATCCAATTTTTAAAATTTTGTTTAATTGTATATCCATGGAAGAGAAGCATATATATGATGCTAGCAAACAATTAGCATCTAAGCAGGTGGTGTTAGGGTGATGGTTATCTTGTTTAATAATGTTTCCCAAGTGCTCAGCAGTCAAGGCAATAAGGCATGACAGGGTTCCTTGAGGAAGAGCAATGGAACACAAAACTTCTGGAATTAATGTTTAGGGCCTCACATCATTGTCTTGGAAAATGAAATATAAGAGGACATTTTCCAAATGTAACAATAATGAATATGTTATTTCGCCTGTCTTCTTGAAATCACAGAATTTAAGACCACCTCTCTTCACAGATGGGGATCTAAAGCCCCTGAAAGGTGAAAACACACTGCCCAGAGTGGTTTCTGATCTGGGTAGGTTTGGGGAACAACAGGCTTGTCTGTTTATATCATGATTATTCAGGCTTAGCTTTCTTCTAGAGAAAGCTTGGCTTTTAAATTGAACAATAAGTAGGTTTTCCCTTAATATGTCTTCCCTTCTACTGGGATATAGACAATCACTTTAAAGAAGATTTATATTCCCCAGCCCCTAGTCCCAGATACTATATATGAGAGAATAATTGAGAATTTGGGACAGGGCATTTTTTTAAGTATAAAATTTGAATATCATCCTCCTTAACTGGAAAAGTTGGCCTACCAATATTAGGATATAACTGCTATGCCAATGTGCTAGGGAGATCTTTTACTTCACATGCATATTTGTTCTGACATTTTAACTATATTTTGAGTGCTTCTGAGGACTAAGCTACTTTTTTTTGTGAACCATCTTTCTCATTGAAGCAGTTTGAAGGGGCTAATGCAGGGAATGCCTTAATGGGGGCTTTTTACCCTAATTTTAGCAATGTGGGTGGCTCCTGGCATCTATGACATAAATTTATGAGGTCAAAAAGGGTATTTACCAACCTCTGGAAACAGTGATCTTGGTAAATATTTTTTGAATTATGATACAGACAGACATAGAAAGCCATTCAGAATTTGGTTTTTATGTCTTTTTTCCTGAAAGTAAAATTATTCTCACTGTGAAACAGAGGACATTGAACCAAAGCTTCTTCATGAATACATTTTACTTGCTTTGTAGAACCAATCCATTCACTAAGGTGGTACTGAATACATTTTAAAAGCTCTAGGAGGCCCTAGATAAGGTAGGACTCAGAACTATTCCTTTCTCAAGCCAACAACTCTTTCCAAAGGACACGGAACATCAGGAAATCTAGATTGGGACATTGTAAAAACTGTCCCTAGCACTTACATTTACTTGGCATCTATCACCAAAGACTTACATTTAAGACACCCCTTTACTGATTTGATTGATTTCTATGGAAGCTTTAGGTTTGAACTCTGGTCCTATGTATTAGGGATGTTCCATGTATGAGCATGCATACAAGTTGAAAAGTATTCTGTTTACTTATGAAGATGAAGAAAAAGGCACCACTAATGAAAGTAAAGTATAAATCTTGGTGAGGACCAGGTACTCCCTTATTAAATTTTAAGTATTTTTAGTCCTGAGTCTTATTGTAAGTAGCTGGGTTGTCATCCATGGTGCTGGTTTAGAAACTGTAGGACAAGAAAGAAATAAGTTTTTGCAAAACCAAAAAGAAATAAGTCACTTTCCTGCCACTATAATTTTCTTCCTAGACTTTATTCACTCTAAATATTTTACTAGTAAATTTTAATGACATCCTTGTGTGAGAATGGGCATCTTTAGGAAATTTGAATTTATCCAAATAAAGTACCTAATGGATTTGGAATTTTGGTGTAGAGTTCTAAACTCAAAGCTCAGTCCAAATGGATGTGGTTTTAAGCCCACTCTCTTAGGGCGTTTTTCCTTAGTACTTGTCTTAGACCAAGTACTGTTTCTGGAAGCAGCCTTAGTGGTGAGGTATAGAAGATAGTGGTAGTGCACTTTTTAAAAAGTGCATATTGATTATCTTGGCTACAATGTTTAAGAAGTCAGATTTTTACAAGAGCCAGCAAAACCGGGAGTAGAGGGTTGAGGGGATGAAAAGTAGTCCTAAAACTCTCTCCCCTTATGCTTTTTCTGACTGCTCTGTCCTGGTGCAGTGGCCTATCACAAAAGAATGTTGTAAAAGAAAAACAAGCCCCAGCCTTGCTGGGCAAATCTTCAACACCAGCAGTAAAGCTTAGACCTGAGCCATGGGGGGTAAAAGAGGATGCTAACTAGTAAAATGGTGCCACCATTGCTGATGGTATGGGGGTGCCTGTTCTCAGGATGTGTGAATATTCAGGTCTATAGGCTTCTGCATGGTTTGTTCTGTCTAACTGCTTGCCTAGCTTGGCAGAATGAAGGTGGCTAGATAGTGTTGAAAGGATGCTTTGGGGGCAAATCAAGTCATAAAGCATGTGATTGAGGGAGATTACAAAGTACAGAATTAAAGCTGTGTGGTCACTTAACTCCTTTGCAAGGATCCTGGTGAAAGTTAGTTTGAATGAATGTTTCTCTTTAGATTTCAAGTGCTCATTTCTTTTCCGCTCCCCCACTCCCCTTCTTCCTTTTTTTCAAGTATTTTTCTAAAGACAATCAGAGGCCTGACAGAGAGGGACTCCCGGCTGGTTACAGCACTGTCCTTAGGCCTCTTTCTAATTCTAACTCAATGGAACTGATGCACTTTGTTTAATGTATCTTGCCTTTTTTTTTTTTTTTAAGCTGCTTGTTTGGAACAAAATTAAGTACTTATTGCTTTCTGTTTCTCCTCTTAATTTCAAAAGTTATGCATTGAAGATAAAGAACACTTAAGGGGAAATATGCATCAGGTAACCGATTAAACTCCCATCCAGTTTGATGGTATACTTCAAGATATTTTTTTAAGTATTTTGGATGAATATTTATGTTTTTCTTTTTGGTAAATAAGTTTGTATAAACTTGTGGCATATTATGACAGTTTTAAATGGTTTGAGAAAATTAAAGGAAATAGGTCTTAAGCTTTGTTTAACTTTTAATTTCATTTGTACTGATTCGACAGTAAGGAGGACCTTTTGACAAGAGTCCATCCATCAAAACTCTTTCCAATGGGGCCTCAGAATCAATTCTGAGAGGTGGAGAAAGTTCCTTCCTACCTTAATAAAATTCCAGAATTCTCCCCCTTCTGGCTGTCTTGTCCTTTCACCTCCATATTTATATGCTTTTTAAAATTTCAGCTCAGGAAAGGTAGGAAGAGAAGAATTCCCCACAGTGGCCTTGCTTCTAGCATTGGGGATTCTGCTCCTGATCCCTAAAATGTAGTTCTTATTCTCTTGGGGCATTACGGATTTGTCCACATTTGAATGTGTAGAACAGTGCTGTGTCCAAACTTCAGTTTTCAGCCTTATGTGCAATTTTTCTTGAGCTGTCTGTGTGTTCAGGAAACTAAGTCTCCTTATGCCAGTCACAATCTCTTCTGCTTTAAGACACATCCTCTTGTTCAGTTCCCTCTGAACAAGTACTGTTAATCGTTGTGCGTCCTCATAAGATCCCTCTTGGACTTAAGGCAGTGATGCAATTTTAATTTTCCCGTATCCATTTATTTTCTTAACCAGATTTTCTGTATTTGCTTATGGTCAATATTTGTGGAGAATTTTTATAAATTAAAACTCAGTTTAAAGTTAAAAAAATCTTGTTGCATGTTCTATGTCAGACACTGTGTTGGATTCATGAGTGAATAAAAACCAATTCCTGTCTTCAGGAGGCCAACACTCAGCTGCAGGAGAAAGATGTATTTATAGCCATGTAATTAAGCTGCCTTAAATTCTAGTGAAACAGTACACTGGAAGAAATGTGGGAGTACAGTGGGGGAGGTCAGGTGGGCCTTGAAGCATGAGCAACAGTTCATGGAGGAGGAAACAGGGAACAGCATCCATGCAGCTAAAATGCTGCATAGAAGCACAGAGATGTGAAAGTGTATTGTAAAAAAAGTGTGGAGAATTGCATTTTTGTTATCTGGATAATCAGGTTAATATTCCAGTTAATGAAGAAAGCATTTGGATAGATTTAACCCCGGAATGTAATTGGGTTTTTTTGGGAGCAATATTATAGGGAAATTTTTCCCTAGAGATAGAATATACTGTTTTCAAATGTAGCCCACTGCCAACTGGACTCATATACCACATACACTGTTCACTATGCAGCAGAAAAGTCAGGGCTCTTGAAGCACCATCAAGAGGTGAAAATCGGAGAAATTGGAGAGGACTAAGGACCCTAGTAGAAGTAGAGATTGTGTGTGTGGGGGGGTGTGTATTGATTTTTTTTCTTTTCTTTCTTTTTTTTTTTTTTTTTTGTGCTAGTGGGGATTGAATTTAGGTCCTCCCACAAAATAGGCAAGCGCTTCTCTACCAGTGGGCTACACTCCAACCCTTTTTATTTTGTGGCAGGGTCTTGCTGAGTTGCTCTTAAACTTGTGATCCTCCTGCCTCAGCCTCCCCAGTAGCAATTACAGGTATAAGCCAAGAAGCCTGATTTGGCGGCCTTTTATGAATCACATTCAATATGACCTTCAATGTAAGCAAAGTGGGAATATGTGCACACAGCTTTCAGTCTAAACCTGGTATATTTCTACACGAAAGTGCTTGGATTAAAATGACCATTTAAATTATGCTTACGGGGAGCCAGGTGCAGAGGAGGGCTCTCCGGAGGCTGAGGCACAGGTGGATGGCTTAAACCTGGGCAATACAACAAGATCCCCGTCTCAAGAAAAGAAAAAAAAAATATTTATGGGGGGAAAATAAACTCGGGGTTTTGATTAATCAAATTCCCTGGAGTTTTGACCAGGGAAGTAGAGGAAAGACGCCCGATATCTGACTTGGAAGGAAGAAGCTTCTGTGATGTCCCAAGATTTTTCCTCAACCACGTTCAGAATAATCCAGGCTGCTTCAACGAAATCCAGCGGCAGATTATTGAGCCCCCACCCGTAAAGTACTGAGACGGAATTTTTGCGAGGATGGAATCCACAAATTTATTTTTAATAAATTCTCCAGGACATAAGAGATTTACGTCGGAGGGAAAAAGAATTTAATCACAGACTGGCCTTGCTACTGCCCGGCTTACCTGAAGCTCAGAGTCCCYGAGTCTCACTCCGGTCTGCGATGCGAGGCTCACCAAGTCGGTCTACCAGCTGGTGGAGACCCACCGGCCCGCCCTTCGCCCGGGCCGGAGCCCCGCCCCTCGGGGGAGAGCAGAATCGCCGGGGCCCACCCCTACGCCAGGCCAGGCCAATCAGGCGCTGCGATCTCAGACGTCGGGTTACGCGCGGCGCCGAGTCGACCGCCGGCGGAGGAACCGGCTCCCGGCTCGGGCTCCGGCCTCCGGGCTCGGCGGCGCGGTCCCCGCAGCAGCGAGGCTGGGCGGGCCGGCGCCTCACGCCCTCCCGCCAGGCCGCCATGCAGGGCCCCGCCGGGAACGCGAGCCGCGGACTGCCGGGCGGGCCGTCCTCCACTGCCGCGTCCGGGGCGGGCCGCTGTGAGAGCGGCGCGCTCATGCACAGTTTCGGCATCTTCCTGCAGGGGCTGCTCGGCGTCGTGGCCTTCAGCACATTAATGCGTGAGTCCGGGACCCTAGCCCCTCCTCAATGCCACAAACCCCCGGCACAGCGCGGCCGCGAGGACCCTCCTGCCTGAAGAGTTAAGGCCTGGGGACCAGGGCCCTGTGGTAGAGGTTCCTTTCTCCCCCAATCCAAGCTGGGCATTCCCAGACGAAGGCGAACCCGGGTCCCTGACCACACGATCCCGAGCCCTTGTCGCAGCATCCTCTAATTAGGAGTGACCCTGCCCCTCTYCACCTTACTACACGTCTCTTTTTCTGAGATGTCAACCTAAAACTCGCCCCGTTCCCACCATGTCATCGCAAATTAAGGTTACCCCACTTTCCATCCCGGAGTCGTGACCCCTTCTGGGTGGCACCTCTCTGCCTGCTCTCAAGAACCCTTCTTAGCCTGTCCTCCAGCTCTAAGCCCACATCCCAAAATTCCTAGTTTGATGCTGAGCTCTCTTTGGCACCTTCTTCGCTTTTAAAAGATTTGCTATCTCTGTTCGTATTTGAATCCTGCTACCTTGCATCCTTTGCGGTAGATGGAATATTTTCCCAGGACCACCCCCTTCTCCCCGCCCTCTGGTCCTTCTCCCTCAGCATTATTTTCCCTTGCCTTCTTCTCCCACATCTCCTTCCTCTCCTTTTCTTCCCCAAACAGGTCACCTGTTCCATCTCTGTCCCAAGCTTTCCTAACGAAGTCACATATGAAGCTTATCCTGGCTATTCCCTTTCCCAACCCATTTTTATTATTTATATTTTAAGTATTCATAAATACTCAGGCAATCTAATGGCTTGAGGGAGAAATAGGCTAAGAGGGTCTGTGGAGGTCTCAGAATCCCTGAGTTAAGTCACCAGGGTCACTTCCTTGGGAGTTTTGTAATGAAGAAGGAAGTCCCAGATGGCCCTGATAGTCCTGTGGGTTATGAGATAGGAGGATGAGGGTCATGTGGACTATGGTGAGGGAGATGTGTTGATTTTTTAATACATATTTTAACAATAAGGATAACAAGAACCTGTATGTGGCACATAGGTCTAGAAATGCCCCTTTAACATGTTTTGGAGGAAGGAAAGATTGTAACTTAACTGTTCAGAGGCATTAATTAAAAAATGACTTGTTCTCAAAACTTCCCCACTGTGCTTGTGTGGGCAGAACCACAAGTTCCAGTAGAGTATGTGCTCTTCAGCTGGTTCCTGGGGTGGTCTCATCCAGAGGTCTTTTAGGGTCCCCTTGCTGAAGGGCCACCTTGCTTGTTCAGATAGAAAGATTTCTTTGGGTGAATTCTTCCAGGTTGAAACCTGGAGAGTCTCTGATTTTGGACACTGTTTTCCTCTGGTTGCCTGGCCTTGACAAGTCCTGCAACAAGTGCCCAACTGTCTTTGTTTGCCATTTTTTCTTCTGTTCTTAGGTCCTACTTGCCTTCCTTTTTTTTTTTTTCTTTTCTGCTGAACAAATACTCACTTGTTTCCACAATAATAATTTGTGACAACTTAGCCAAAATCAGTTGCTGTACTATATGTGTGTGTTTTTAAGACATTCTGAGTGGGGTTTCACTCTCCTCCCTCCAGCCTTCCTTTCTCTCTCAGGAACTGTAAGTTTAATTTTATTGTTTTTGTGGTTTTGGGAATCAAACCCAGGGTCTCAGGCATGCTGTATCACTGAGCTATATCTCCAGCTCTGGTTTAATTTTTATTTTGTTCCCTAACCTGAGATTTCATAGCCTACTTCTGGCCCTTTTCATGGTTTTGATTGATGCTGATGGCCTGCTTTATCCCCTAGGGTTTGGCACTTGTGATTCAGAGAGGAAAATGTGATTATGACAGGGCAGAGTTCCTCACAGMTGAGAAGTGTGCCATAGTGGTGATGCTGGCCCTGAGAGTCTTCAGGGACACTCTCACCTCTTTACTTAATCTTCATTGTGAGCACATGTGCAAATCCCACTGTGGTTGGTTTTTTTTTTTTTTTTTTCTCTGTGAAAAGACTGGATGAGAAGGTAGTCTCTCRCTCACTGAAAGGCTTGATGTGAAAGGAGGTTTGTGGAAATGGCAGATAGTCCTGGAATGATGTCGGGTAGCAGTAATGGGGAGTAGAATTGGAAAGGCCAAAGCTGGATCTGTTCTGAACACAGAAATAGGGATGAGAGTAAGATCCTCATCACCTTTCATAGAAGTAGACAAAGCAGACCAAGGTGATGGGACTGTGGAGTTAAGGAGAAGACCCACTGGCTGGGAACCAGTCAGGTAAGTGCCTTTCTTATGGCTCAAATTCCTTGGTTCTGTTGAAATAGAACTGTGGGGCTTTTCCTTTTTGAACTGCTGAAAAGAAGAGGAAATCCCTAAGAGGCTACCTTTTTAAATTTTGGAATAGACTTCACAGGAGAAGAAGAAAGGGTAGTAAGGTACTCTCAAGGAAATGCATCTGCCAGCTGTTGGGCTGTGTTGTCCTAGTTACAGAGCTGCTGGAGGAGGAGGACCAGGCTCCCAGATGAGAGGTTCCACATGGCAGTCCTTGAGGGAGGGAGGGCATTTGTTATGATGAGGCTGCTTCATCACCATCTTCTTCAAGCAGTGTGTTCTGAGCAATTTGAATTAACAGTCCCCATCTTCTTTGAGGTCAGTCTTTCCCTTTCCTGGTATTTGCATGCCCTTCGGCAACAGACTTAATGCTTCTCTTAGGTACTTCCTCAGTGCTCACTGCAGAAACTGTTCAGTTTTCCTGCTAGACGAGCATATTCTGTAGCATGATGGACCCACTTCTGTGCCAGACAAACTGAGGTAATTTTCCAACTTCACCTCCCTGATTTCAGTGAATCATCAGAATAATGTGTTTATGCTCTTTTTTTTTTTTTTTTACTCAAAAGTTACTTTTTTCTCTGCTTATCAGTTGCTCTGTTTTTGTCCTAGAATAAGATGTCTCACATCTCTTGATGTCCCTGGGGAGGATTTTGGTTCTCACAAGGATTACTCACCATGGCACTCTGATGGACTTCTTGCTTTATATGTGGTGTTTTACAGATTCTTGGTCCAGGCAGTTGAGAGTGTGTATGCCAGGTCCTGTATCTAACCTGTTCTTCAAGCTACTTGAACATCCAGACTATTGCAGGCCACCATCTACCATCATGTCCTAGTGTCAGCATCACCTTGTTAATTAAATTGGTGGGTTTTCCAGAGGCTCCAGCTAAAGAAAGCCAAGGAAACTCAGAAGCCAGCTTATAGAGGTACTCCTACTATGAGTTTTCTGGGCTCCCATCAAAATGACTGGTTGCAAGGAAAGAAGCACTTTAACCATGAAGGTTTGGTCATGATTTGCCTGTTGAGCAGCACCTCATGTTCTGGTGACTTTTTCTGTAGCCTCTGACTCAAGTCATTCAGACCAGAGTCGCAGCAGAACAGAGCTGAACAATCCTGGAGCTCAGGAAACTTAGTGCAGGATAGTCATCCAGCTGTCAGCCAAAGGTCAGCATTGGCCAATGTGTGTGTTGGCATTTGGGGGTGTTTATTCAGGACTGTGAGTGCAAAGCAAACTCAGGCTTGCTTTGCTATGCAGAGTCAGGACTGAAGTGTAGACCGAAATGACTTTTAACAAAACAAGTGTTTTGAGAACTTGGATAAATCTGCCTGCCTATTTTGTGTCACAGATATGGGGACTGGCAGGGAGAAATATATCTTAAGTTATACTGAGCAGTATTAGCATTGAGAAGTGACAGCTTCCTTCTTGTGGCCCAAAGTAAAATCACAAACCAGTCCACCCAGCTTTGATAGCTTAAGCTCAAGAGTGTCCAGAGTTTCCTCTCATGCTGAGCTGACTTCCGTATGTGCTCTGTGAACACATAGCCCATGTTGGCACAGTCTTTTCTACCCTCACCACTATACACCCCATTTCAGTTTTTATCTTAAAACGTGTCAAACACCTAGATAAGTTAAGAATTAATGCATAGAATGCCTATTTATTTCTACTATTTGCGTGTGCGCTCGCGCGCGCTCGCTCTCTCTCTCTCTCTCTCTCTCTCTTTTAAACATTTTGCTTTCTTTTTTTTTTTAAAGAGAGAGTGAGAGACAGAGAGAGGGAGAAAGAGAGAATTTTAATATTTATTTTTTAGTATTTGGCGGACACAACATCTTTGTTTGTATGTGGTGCTGAGGATCGAACCCGGGCCGTACGCATGCCAGATGAGCGCGCTACTGCTTGAGCCGCATCCCCAGCCCCTCTCTCTCTCTCTTTTTTAACTGAACAATTAATTTGAAGGAAAGTTGCAGTCAGTACCACAACTTTATTCCTAAATACTTTAGCTAAGTTTCTTAAAAATTAGGATAGTCTTCTACATGACCACCTATAAGAATTATTATTTAATAACTCCCTCCATAATATCATCTGATACCCATTGAATATTTACATTTCCCCCAAATGTCACGAATCTTTCATAACTGGAGTTTTTAAAAGCAGGTCTAGAAGCTGCATACATTTTATTTGGTACTTTTTTTTTTTTTTTGGTACCAGGGATTGAACTCAGTGGCCCTTGACCACTGAGCCACATTCCCAGGCCTGTTTTGTTTTATTTATTTAGAGACAGGGTCTCACTGAGTTGCTTAGCACCTGGGATTATAGATATGTACCACCGCTCTGGGTTTGGTTCTGTTTTTTTGTTTTTTTTTTTTTAAGTTGCTCAAGACAAACAATGATCTTGACATATCATACATTTGATTCAAATAGGGTATGAATTCTCATTTTTCCACATGTACAGATTGCAGGATCACATTGGTTATAAAGCCATGTATATACATACAGCAATAATAGTGTCAGTTGTATTCTGTTTTTAAATCACTTTTACTTCTCAAACAGTCTCCTCCTACACATTCCCAGCGCCCCCCCCCCCTTAGTGCTGGGGATCAAACCCAGGGCCTCATGCCTATTACTCAAGCGCCCTTCCCTGGGGCTATACCTCCAGCTTCTCACTCACACTTGTGTTTTGTTTTTAATGACTTTGACTTTTGAAAGAGTCTAAGCTGGTGGTTGA